CTGACTACGCGCGGGCAGAGAAGCTGGATATCCAAGAACTCCCCCAACCCATTGTGGCTCGTAACGCCGACAACACCAAAAACATCAGCGGCCGGATCACGCATTACGTTGACCTAAGGATGAGAATCGGTCCTCATGCGGAGACACGCACGTTCCTTCTGACGTGCTTGGGGAAAGCCCGGATCTTCATCGGTCTTGATTGGCTGATGGAACACAACCCCGAGGTGGATTGGCAGCAGCAGACCATGAGATTCAGCCGATGCCCAGAGCGGTGTCACATGAGGGGTCACGAGGAGCATCAAGCGATGATTGACATGGATGCAATCAACCTGGACACGGGCACACCGGATCTGGAAGAGGGAGAATCGATCCTGTTGATCGACTTTGGGAAGGAGGTGGATCTACGGCTGAAGGAAACGCCGGCACAGAAATTCGCAGAAGAAGCAGAAAAAGAGAAGGAGAGGATGACCGAGGGGAAGATTCCGGATCAATATCGGGAATTTATCAAGGTATTTGCCAAGGAATTGTTTGACTCACTACCGGACCGACGGACATGGGATCATGCGATTGAGCTCAAACCTGGTTCCAAAGCAGTGGACTGCAAGGTGTACCCGTTATCACGAAACGAGCAGGTCAAACTCGACGAGTTCTTACAAGAGAACCTGGCCAGCGGACGAATCAGGCCATCAAAATCACCTATGGCCTCAGCATTCTTCTTTGTCAAAAAGAAGGATGGTTTGCTACGTCCCGTCCAGGATTATCGGAAGCTGAACGAGATGACGATCCGAAATCGATACCCGCTGCCACTGATCTCTGAGCTGGTCCATAATCTATGCGGCGCAAAGTTCTTCACCAAGCTCGACATCCGGTGGGGATATAACAATGTACGGATCAAAGAGGGCGATGAGTGGAAGGCTGCATTCCGCACGAACCGAGGGCTGTACGAGCCCTTAGTTATGTTCTTTGGTCTTACGAATTCCCCGGCAACGTTCCAAAACATGATGAACGACATACTCCGAGAATTGATCAACGAGGGACACGTGGTAGTCTATCTTGATGATATACTGATCTTCACAGAGAGCTTGGACGAACATCGGCGGATCACAAAACGAGTGCTCGAATTGCTCCAGAACCACAAGCTATACCTGAAGCCCGAAAAGTGCGAGTTCGAACGCACGGAAATCGAATATCTGGGTGTAATTATTGGACACAATTTGATGCGGATGGACCCAGTCAAGATCAAGGGCGTGATGGAATGGCCGGAACCAAAGAGCGTCAAACAAGTCCAAGCGTTTCTAGGGTTCACAAACTTCTATCGACACTTTGTTTGGGGATACGCGGAGGTTGCCAAGCCGTTGACTCGGCTGACAGGGAAGGCAGGATGGTCATGGGGTGCGGATGAGCATGCGGCATTTGATGGATTGAAGAAGAGAATCGCGGAGGATGCGGTCCTAGCTCTACCAAACGACACCGGCCAATATCGTCTGGAAGCCGATGCTTCGGAAGGGGCAACAGGATCAGTTTTGAGCCAAAACCAAGACGGCATTTGGCGCCCAATCGCATTTATTTCGCACGCACTGACCGAAACCGAGCGAAATTACGAGATCTACGACAAGGAAATGCTTGCAATCATGTTATCGCTTGACGAATGGAGGCAGTTGCTCCTGGGAGCCACGGAAACGTTCGAGATCTTCACCGATCATCAGAATCTCGAGTACTTTCGGAAGCCGCAGAAGCTCAATCGACGGCAAGCACAATGGATCACGGAGTTGGCGGAGTTTGATTTCACCTTACAACACCAGCCCGGTGCACTCAACCGCAAGGCGGATCTCCTGTCTCGACGAGCGGATCACGATCAGGGCAAGAATGACAACAAGGACGTCACGCTACTGAAGCCCGAATTCTTCCGATCGCAAGAAGTCACATTCGAGGGACAGGATCAGCAGCTAATTGATGAGATCAAGGCCATTCGATCAATTGATGGAAGCGTCAAGGCGGCCTTGGAGAAGTCACTCGTCGGATGGAAGAAGGAAGACGGGCTCATCACGTACCATGGGAAGCTCTACGTACCAAGGGACAAGGAACTGCGAGACAAGATCATCGGGCTACACCACGACACACCCTTGGTCGGACACGCTGGGATCAATCGAACGCAGGAAATGGTGGAAAGGAACTACTGGTGGCCAAGGATGGGGAACCAAATCCGGAAGTACATCCAGACGTGCGAGGCGTGCCAGCGGACCAAGACCAGAAGAGCCAGGACAGGGACTCTGCACCCGCATGCAGTCCCAAATGCGCCGTGGGAAATCATCTCCATGGATCAAATCGGACCCCTGCCGGTCAGTAATGGGTATGACGCAATTCATGTGTGGTGTGACACCTTCACCAAAATGATCCATGTCGAACCAATTAGTACTGACATCAGCAGCGAAGGAGTAGCACGGTTAACCAGGGATCGGGTCTTCCGCTACCACGGGATCCCCCGCAAGATCATCACCGACAGGGATTCGCGCTACATCAAAGGCTTCATGAAGGAGACAAATTGGATGCTGGGCGTGGAAATGAATCCGGGGACCGCATATCACCCGATCACAGATGGACAAACAGAACGCATGAATCAGGAGATTGAGCACTATCTCCGCATCTACGTCAATTACCATCAGACGGACTGGTCGGAGTGGCTGGGAATGGCGGAGTTCACATATAACGACAAGATGAACACGTCCACCAAAGTATCGCCATTCTATGCAAATCACGGATATCACCCATGGAAGGGAGTGGAGCAGCGGATGGAATCGAGGAACAAGTCGGCGGAGGAATTTGTAAAAAGAATGAAAGAAATACAAGACGAAGCAAAAACAGCACTAGAAAAAGCAAATGAAAAAATGAAAAAATACTACGATAAACAAAGAAAAGAAGTTCCGGAGTTGAAGGTTGGGATGAAGGTGTACATAGAAGGGGAAAACATCGAGACGGATAGACCATCAAAGAAGATGAGCGACAAGAGATTAGGACCATACGAGATACTGGAGAAGGTTGGAGCGGCCGCATGGAAGCTGGATTTGCCGGACACGGACCGAAGACACCCGGTGTTCAACGAGTCACTATTGACACCATATCACGAACCACCCCCCCATCGCCGAGAGAAGAGGCCCGTAGCCAAGATGATCGGAGGAGCAGAAGAGTGGGAAGTCGAAGAAATCGTGAAAGAGCGAAACGTCGGCCGAGGAAAACAGTACTTGGTCAAATGGAAAGGATGGCCGCATAGCGAGAACACCTGGGAACCATCACGCCACCTTACCCACGCGAAGGACGTCCTGAGAGATTGGCAGAGGAAACAATCAAACCCAGACACACGCATTCGCCTCCTGCCAACTCTCAAAGCCGGACATTGGGATTATCTCATCCATCGCTACAAACCCAAAGATGAGCGCCTTCCATATCCCCAGCGACAACTCTTCGATCCGTACGAAAACGTCTTCACGCCCATTGGCCTAGTCGATGAGGACATCGACCCTAGAGAGGGGGTAATGTCATAATTCGACTCTTTTTCATCTTATCATCGACGATCTTATCTTGGCACGACTCATCTTATCACGGATCACGGCATCAGACGATCCGGGCTAGGGGTTCCAGGGGTTATCTCTATTGATTCGAGGCTGCGCAACATATGCTCCAGAAGGTTCTACTACAACCCATGACCCGTGCTCCATGCGGTACATAGCCCTATGACTCATTAGTTGTAGATATGACTCAGACTGGATTTGGGTATAAATACTGTAGCTATTTGGTTGTATTCTCCAGTCTTCGAATTCACTTCTCTTTTCGACTTTGTTTTTGGGTTGATTGTCACACCTCCAATCCCTTCCGATATGGTTGCATCCATTGAATCATTCAATGCTCCCATCTTTGTATTGTCTCGACTGGAACTGAAGCAAGTGTAAGGGGCATGTTATCCTTCAGAGTGTTCTGCTCTAGGTGCTCACTGCTCTAAGCATTGCCTTGCTTGTCAAGGCTTCTCCACCCTCATAATTTGTTTGATCCGGTTGCACACAGTTTGATCTGATCTTCCATATCATTCCGCATGTAATTGTGCAGTCGCTTGTTTGAACCTCGTTTGTTGTTCATAATCAGTTGTTGCATATGCATGTAAACACATTCACAAGCTCTTGTAACGTCCTGCATCTACGCTTGATCACATTAGAACAAAGCACATGCAAGACAAGGAGTGGGGTTCAACGCAGTACTGTTGTCAAGTACACCTTCTGTTCCAATCTGTGGCTCCAATCCCTTACACACACAGCACACTTTGCCCCTGCATTGACGTCTGTGAATTATTGCAATTTTATCTTTTGTATCTGAATTGTGACATGCGACTGCTATTGAGTTTTATTAAAAAAATGCGAGAGCAAGCAAGGCATCTGCCGGCAAAGGTGGTGCTCTAGTCAAGAAGAGAAGGGAATATTGATACAAAATCTATGGTGTAATTGGGTGACTTTCCGTAAGCGTTTTTGCATAAATCAAGGCTACATAAACGCATTTGCCGAGATGCCGGGGCGCTGATCAAGACCCCAGCGTGTCAAACTCTCGCTTGAGCCCTTTCCTAGATTACAAATGGATAGCTATCTGTGTAAGGCCTCGCGACCCCCTACACAGACATAAAACAGCTTCAAAAACCGAAAGAGGAAGGTGTCCATCACACCTTTGACGTCAGGCCCGTGCTAAGTCCGCTGGGTTCCCACCGTCACTCCTCTGCACTCATCGGACACCACCTCGTACGACTTCTCTCCGGCCTTATTTCTTTGACTGCCACGGCGCGTCTCGTTGTCGATGAAATTCGCCACAACATATCCTGATTGGCGAAGCCAAAGCCTCCGTTTATATGAGCCCCTGTGAGTCGTGCCTTGCCTTCATGGCTACACGCACATGGGATGCTCAAGCGCTCATATACAGCTTCGAGACCGGCCGTTTTTGGCTGACCAGTCGTATGGACAAGGCACGAAGGGATGGGGGATAAAAGGATGACGAGGAACTCGCAGAAGGAACGAAACCTCTCAGATCATGTCTCAAGACAATCAGGGTGTTCCTCTCATGCCTACTGACCATCCAGGTTATATGCGTGACGCCCAAGGCTTTCTTTACATTCAACGTGAGGATAGACAATGGATTCCGTACAATCCGGTACGTTTTCTGGCTCTTTTCCGATTGTTTACATTGAGCTGATGGATCCAAAGCCTCCAAATGCTCATGCAACTCCGGCTCGACCCTCCAATTTTCTACCTCCGCCTCCCAGTCCCAGTCCACCTCCTGTATGTCCTTTTCACCTATGAAAGTCGATGCTGAAGCTATGAAACAGCTGCAGCAGCTTCAATTCACATTGAATCCGATTGCCACGCCGACTTCGACTCCATCAAACCCGGCTCCGCCGATTCCTCCAACTCTTGTGTCCAAAGTCCCTGCCTCCAACGCCTCCACGCGCAGGCCGAAGCTGCAGGCTACAGAGAAGAAGTTGACCACCACCAAGTCAACAGGATCGAAGAAGCGCACATACGAGTCAGATGAATCTGACAACGACAACTCGAAGTCTGCGGCTAAGCGCAAATCCAGTGGACGGACGAACGGGTCGGGAAACTACGCAAACGACCATGTTATGGGGATGCTCGATGTGGTGGAGGATGTAGAGCCCGCAGGAGGGAATGGATGGAAGGAGGTGGCGAGGCTATATGACATCCGTGCAGAGGAGGAGGGTTGGCCGACACGAACCCAAGAGTCATTGCAGAGGAAGTACAAGTCGGTGCGTAGCTAGTTTTCTCACTGCTGTCGCTCGTTGACACATTTTCCTAGTTCTTGACGATGAAGAAGCCCACCGGAAGCGGCGAACATCCCCCTCATGTCACCCGCGCTCTCCAGATCGAGGAGAACATCATCAAGAAGGCCGGCATCGTCGAGATCAGCGACACTGATAACTCGTCAGATACGGACGTGGATGTGAAGCTGGTAAAGAAGCGCACCGCCGTTGCAACTCGTGCTCCATCCCCTGCCCGCCGCCGATCTCGCGTGAACCCCAATGAGGTCATGGGCAATGTTGCCCGTGCGTTTGACCCGGAGGCAATGGAGCGGCGCGAGTCTGCACAGACCCAACGCATGCACGAGAGCGCACAGCTCTTTGCGGCATCACAGCAGACTCGGGACCTCCAGAGGGAGGTTGCTGCTCTCCATCGACGGATTGAGCAGCTGCAGGAGCGTTTGCATGAGGCTCAGCGTGAACGCGACATGGCCAAACTCCGCCTCGAGTTCATCCAGCCTCCTCGCAGCCATGCCAATTCCAGCCCGTACATGCCGCCGCAGATCACAGACGATGACTACGAGTTCGACTGGGGTCGCTCTTCTCCCTCCGTTTCACACCATCGCAATGCAATCACTGGCCCGTCGCATCCTCAACGCTTTCCCTCCGAACTTCAGACTTCGACAGTCGTTGCCGATGCTGCTGAGGTCACTGTCTCGCAGCCAGATGGGAGCGCTTTGACAGTCACCATCAGCCCGAGCAAGGGCAAGGGCAAGCAGAAGGCTACGGATGTCATAGTTCGGCCACTTTTTCATCTTATCTTCAACAATCTCATCTTATCTCAACACGGGTTATCTTATCACGGATCACGGCATCAGACGGTCCGGGCCAGGGGTTATCTCTATTGATTCAAGGCTGCGCGACATATGCTCCAGAAGGTTCTACTACAACCCATGACCAGCGTTCCATGCGGTACATAGCCCTATGACTCATTAGTTGTAGATATGACTCAGACTGGATTTGGTATAAATACTGTAGCTACTTGGTTGTATTCTCCAGTCTTCGAATTCACTTATCTTTTCGACTATTGTTTTTGGTTGATTGTCACATAATTCGAAGACTCCCCTCATACCCTCGTACCTCTTACCTCCTACCCTGCCCCCGCACTGCTACGCCCGCTATATCCTCTTCACCTTTATCACCCCACTCACCCTTTTACCGAATCATCTAGTCGCTCACCGCGATCGCAGTGAAGGGTTCATATCGAGCAAACAGCACCAGGCCACGGGTAACGTTGAGCCTGACCCAAGCCTTACGGTAGCTACAAGGAGTGCTGCGGAGACCTTCGGGAAAACGCACCTCGGGATCATCGGGCACGTGAAGAGCTAGGCCCGGGATCTTTTTGCTAGCAAAAGAACCTTTCCTCGAGTGCTTGTACAGCACACGAATCCACCATTTCGTACCGATTCCCATCATCATCTGGGAGTCCATCCCCTCCCCCCATCATACCATCGTTGCCCGATCTGGCGCATCAAAACGAACCCGGACCCTCCAACCCCTATCTCGCCCTCCCGCCACCTGAAGACGAGATCCCAGACCTCGACAAGTTGCCCTCTGAACAACCACCCTCACCCCCGCCTACCGCACCTGCTCGTACCATGTCAGGACACCATTGCATCACCCTCGCCGCCAACCCTCCCTATTTTGATGGGGACAAATCCAAATATCTGGGCTTCGTAGACTCGTGCACCACCTACATTGGTGCCTACCAATCAGAGTTCTCGCAGGATGAGACCAAAATCCTCTTCGTCCTCTCCTACCTCCGTAATGAGAACGGCACGAGCTGTGCTGCCTCAAGATGGGCGATGAACTGGAAGCAGCACAACTTCGATGGCTTCTAGGGACTGAAGGCAGGAGTCACATCAAAGAATTTCCTGGAGGAGCTCCAGAGGGCCTTTGGGGACTCCAATGCGGAACAAGTCACCGCGGCTCGACTCATGGCCCTGCGCCAGAACAAACGGTCCTTCGCGGACTACATCTCCGACTTTGAGATGTTGGCCGCAGATGCGGGATACAATGTGGTCGACACCACCGACGACAAGGGCGAATACAAGAAGGGAGATCAAGACAATATCCTCATCGAGTTCCTGGAGCGCGGACTCAGTAGCGAGATTGCCAGTCGTCTCTACAACACGGGTGTTCCTCTGCCCAAGGCCTATGGGGCGTTCAAAGCCTGGTGCATCAACATCGAGGCAAATGCCCTACGCGATCAGCTGTGCAAAGCATTGCATGCGCACTCCGCACCACGACCGCCTCCCCAATTCCGCCCACAGGTAGCCCCAATGACACCTGCACCCGCCCCGACCCGACCCGCCGCCAACGAGCCGGTTCCGATGGAAGTCGATCGCACCCACGCTCGCGGCCGCAATATCATCTGCTACAACTGCCAGCAGCCTGGGCACATTGCACAGAACTGCCCGGAACCAAGGAAGAAGCGCACATTCTTCAATCGGGCCACGATGCTGGAAGAGATCGAGAACGGGGACAAGGACAACGAGTTCCTCAAGGAGATTGCCGAGAAGCTGCGCGAGAAGGGTTTTTGAAGCGCTCCACTCCTCTAGCCAAGGAGGTGGAGCGTCCGGACTATGGACGATTTTCTATACTTGTTTCAATTAAAGACATAAACGATTCTGCATATACATATACAATCTCGGACTCACTACGTACCAATATCCACGACTTTCTCATTGCTGATATGGAAAAAGAACGCCAAGGAAAAATAGCTTTAAATAGAGAGTATTTACAAAGTAAAAAGGATCGGAAAGCTGCAGATAAATTAATTTTGGATTCCTACGTATTTATGGCTCGTGGAGAAGGAACCACGTCAACAAAGACCGAAAAGGGGAGCACCGCTCCGAAGGCTCGATCCTTGGAAAAGGAGGAAGCGCCTAAGAAATCTGCCGAAATCAAGGTTCCAGAAGCACCCAAACGCACCAGGGTGCCAGATGCCGTCCAGAGGAAATTGGCGGCCAAGAAACAGAAGGGCCCCCAGCCCAGCAGGTTGGCGCAGGAACTGCGCAATTACCAGGCCGAGAGGAAGAGGCATTCGATGGACGTATATGTCCAGATCACGGGTCTGGACTCAGGAAAAACGCGCGGAGTCAAGGCGCTGCTCGATAGCGGCTGCAGTACCTGCTGCATCGATACCGACTATGCACGGGCGGAGAAGTTGGATATTCAAGAGCTCCCCCAACCCATTGTGGCTCGTAACGCCGACAACACCAAGAACATCAGCGGTCGGATCACGCATTACGTCGACCTTAGGATGAGAATCGGTCCTCATGCGGAGACACGCACGTTCCTTCTGACGTGCTTGGGGAAAGCCCGGATCTTCATCGGTCTTGATTGGCTGATGGAACACAACCCCGAGGTGGATTGGCAGCAGCAGACCATGAGATTCAGCCGATGCCCAGAGCGGTGTCACATGAGGGGTCACGAGGAGCATCAAGCGATGATTGACATGGATGCAATCAACCTGGACACGGGCACACCGGATCTGGAAGAGGGAGAATCGATCCTGTTGATCGACTTTGGGAAGGAGGTGGATCTACGGCTGAAGGAAACGCCGGCACAGAAATTCGCAGAAGAAGCAGAAAAAGAGAAGGAGAGGATGACCGAGGGGAAGATTCCGGATCAATATCGGGAATTTATCAAGGTATTTGCCAAGGAATTGTTTGACTCACTACCGGACCGACGGACATGGGATCATGCGATTGAGCTCAAACCTGGTTCCAAAGCAGTGGACTGCAAGGTGTACCCGTTATCACGAAACGAGCAGGTCAAACTCGACGAGTTCTTACAAGAGAACCTGGCCAGCGGACGAATCAGGCCATCAAAATCACCTATGGCCTCAGCATTCTTCTTTGTCAAAAAGAAGGATGGTTTGCTACGTCCCGTCCAGGATTATCGGAAGCTGAACGAGATGACGATCCGAAATCGATACCCGCTGCCACTGATCTCTGAGCTGGTCCATAATCTATGCGGCGCAAAGTTCTTCACCAAGCTCGACATCCGGTGGGGATATAACAATGTACGGATCAAAGAGGGCGATGAGTGGAAGGCTGCATTCCGCACGAACCGAGGGCTGTACGAGCCCTTAGTTATGTTCTTTGGTCTTACGAATTCCCCGGCAACGTTCCAAAACATGATGAACGACATACTCCGAGAATTGATCAACGAGGGACACGTGGTAGTCTATCTTGATGATATACTGATCTTCACAGAGAGCTTGGACGAACATCGGCGGATCACAAAACGAGTGCTCGAATTGCTCCAGAACCACAAGCTATACCTGAAGCCCGAAAAGTGCGAGTTCGAACGCACGGAAATCGAATATCTGGGTGTAATTATTGGACACAATTTGATGCGGATGGACCCAGTCAAGATCAAGGGCGTGATGGAATGGCCGGAACCAAAGAGCGTCAAACAAGTCCAAGCGTTTCTAGGGTTCACAAACTTCTATCGACACTTTGTTTGGGGATACGCGGAGGTTGCCAAGCCGTTGACTCGGCTGACAGGGAAGGCAGGATGGTCATGGGGTGCGGATGAGCATGCGGCATTTGATGGATTGAAGAAGAGAATCGCGGAGGATGCGGTCCTAGCTCTACCAAACGACACCGGCCAATATCGTCTGGAAGCCGATGCTTCGGAAGGGGCAACAGGATCAGTTTTGAGCCAAAACCAAGACGGCATTTGGCGCCCAATCGCATTTATTTCGCACGCACTGACCGAAACCGAGCGAAATTACGAGATCTACGACAAGGAAATGCTTGCAATCATGTTATCGCTTGACGAATGGAGGCAGTTGCTCCTGGGAGCCACGGAAACGTTCGAGATCTTCACCGATCATCAGAATCTCGAGTACTTTCGGAAGCCGCAGAAGCTCAATCGACGGCAAGCACAATGGATCACGGAGTTGGCGGAGTTTGATTTCACCTTACAACACCAGCCCGGTGCACTCAACCGCAAGGCGGATCTCCTGTCTCGACGAGCGGATCACGATCAGGGCAAGAATGACAACAAGGACGTCACGCTACTGAAGCCCGAATTCTTCCGATCGCAAGAAGTCACATTCGAGGGACAGGATCAGCAGCTAATTGATGAGATCAAGGCCATTCGATCAATTGATGGAAGCGTCAAGGCGGCCTTGGAGAAGTCACTCGTCGGATGGAAGAAGGAAGACGGGCTCATCACGTACCATGGGAAGCTCTACGTACCAAGGGACAAGGAACTGCGAGACAAGATCATCGGGCTACACCACGACACACCCTTGGTCGGACACGCTGGGATCAATCGAACGCAGGAAATGGTGGAAAGGAACTACTGGTGGCCAAGGATGGGGAACCAAATCCGGAAGTACATCCAGACGTGCGAGGCGTGCCAGCGGACCAAGACCAGAAGAGCCAGGACAGGGACTCTGCACCCGCATGCAGTCCCAAATGCGCCGTGGGAAATCATCTCCATGGATCAAATCGGACCCCTGCCGGTCAGTAATGGGTATGACGCAATTCATGTGTGGTGTGACACCTTCACCAAAATGATCCATGTCGAACCAATTAGTACTGACATCAGCAGCGAAGGAGTAGCACGGTTAACCAGGGATCGGGTCTTCCGCTACCACGGGATCCCCCGCAAGATCATCACCGACAGGGATTCGCGCTACATCAAAGGCTTCATGAAGGAGACAAATTGGATGCTGGGCGTGGAAATGAATCCGGGGACCGCATATCACCCGATCACAGATGGACAAACAGAACGCATGAATCAGGAGATTGAGCACTATCTCCGCATCTACGTCAATTACCATCAGACGGACTGGTCGGAGTGGCTGGGAATGGCGGAGTTCACATATAACGACAAGATGAACACGTCCACCAAAGTATCGCCATTCTATGCAAATCACGGATATCACCCATGGAAGGGAGTGGAGCAGCGGATGGAATCGAGGAACAAGTCGGCGGAGGAATTTGTAAAAAGAATCAAAGAATACAAGACGAAGCAAAAGCAGCATTGGAAAAAGCAAATGAAAAAATGAAAAAATACTACAATAAACAAAGAAAAGAAGTTCCGGAGTTGAAGGTTGGGATGAAGGTGTACATAGAAGGGGAAAACATCGAGACGGATAGACCATCAAAGAAGATGAGCGACAAGAGATTAGGACCATACAAGATACTGGAGAAGGTTGGAGCGGCCGCATGGAAGCTGGATTTGCTGGACACGAACCGAAGACACCCGGTGTTCAACGAGTCACTATTGACACCATATCACAAACCACCCCCCCATCGCCGAGAGAAGAGGCCCGTAGCCAAGATGATCGGAGGAGCAGAGGAGTGGGAAGTCGAAGAGATCGTGAAAGAGCGAAACATCGGCCGAGGAAAACAGTACTTGGTCAAATGGAAGGGATGGCCGCATAGCGAGAACACCTGGGAACCATCACGTCACCTTACCCACGCGAAGAAGGTCCTGAGAGATTGGCAGAGGAAACAATCAAACCCAGACACACGCATTCGCCTCTTGCCAATGCTCGAAGCTGGACATTGGGACTATCTCATTCATCGCTACAAACCCAAAGACGAACGCCTTCCATATCCCCAACGACAGCTCTTCGACCCCTACGAGAACGTCTTCCTACCCGTTGGCCTAGTCGATGAGGACATCAACCCTAGAGAGGGGGTAATGTCATAGTTCGGCCACTTTTTCATCTTATCTTCAACAATCTCATCTTATCTCGACACGGGTTATCTTATCACGGATCACGGCATCAGACGGTCCGGGCCAGGGGTTATCTCTATCGATTCAAGGCTGTGCAACATATGCTCCAGAAGGTTCTACTACAACCCATGACCAGCGTTCCATGCAGTACATAGCCCTATGACTCATTAGTTGTAGATATGACTCAGACTGGATTTGGGTATAAATACTGTAGCTACTTCATTGTACTCTCCAGTCTTCGAATTCACTTCTCTTTTCGACTTTGTTTTTGGGTTGATCGTCACAACGGAGGACAATGAGGAGCAGTAGGGTCGACTGTTACATCCATATACCCCTTTCTCAGACAAGCTCTAGTCGTTCCTTTACAACATCTCTTATCTTTTTTTACAATCCAACTTGTGTCGCTCGTTAATACAATTCATGCTCTATACATCTTCATAAACAGGAAAGTTATGGAATCTAGCAACACGATCATTCCTCCGCTGTTCTGAGAACATCACATCTCCAAAATCCGACCATAGTCTTGTATCCTCCATGGCCTCTGTCCAAACTGGCATGTAGACTGACCGAATTTGGTTGTGTCCAACGTGCTCCGCACGTAAATTATGCAGTCGAAGACAAACCTCGATGAGGTTTGCGCGCGCCTTGGTGTTGTTGATATCCAGAGGGACACGGAGACGTCCAAATGAGCCCTGTACTGTTCGCATTCCCCATTCAGCTGTCTGGCGATATGAGAGCAGTTCTCGATCAAATGCGAGTTTCTCTTCAATCTCTGCTTGTGTCCCGTTTATGCGCTGCCCAGTCTTAATGGGAGCACAGATCCTGCCATCAATTTGCGCGTTACCGTGCAGGAATGCTGTGTCAGCCACCAGGTAGAAGCCATCGGGAGTCCGAGTGAGAAGCTTGTCATAAATAGGCCTTGCAACATGTGAGTCGTGCCAGCTGCCAGGTGCGTTCAATCTCACAGCGATGACTTTACCTAATGGGATCAAAGACTTGGAATTAGTGAGGGACTAGATTGGACAGCAAAATGCACAAACCATCAGGTGCAAAGACAAGGATATTACTCACGCAGTGGTCAGAAAGCCATCCATTGTAAGTGGCATTCTCGATCTCTGCATCCGCCGAAGTCTGAACTGGTAGATTCAACCCATCAATGCTCGCAAACGCTCCCGTAAGTCGAGGGTGTTGGACAATGATGAGGGCATTGTACGCAACAAATTCCTCCTGCGTGCACGGCCACCTGATTTGGCATTCAGGGATTTTCCTTAACACAACATGGAGGATGTTGAGGCTGAAGGTGATGTAGCGGGAAACAGTGGAGGGGATGATGGCAAAAATCTGCTGTAGGCTGATCTCATGCATGGTCGAGCTGAGGTAGTGGAGGACAAGACCCAGGGCGCCATTGGCGTCAAGTGATCGTGCTCCTGGTCGAGAGTCCCCGGCTGCATCAGTGTCCGTTTGGGGGATGGGGGTGCTGTACCATGTAGAGGCAAAACCGGACTCAATGATGTACACAAACGTGTTGACGTCGACACCCATTGTTGTGATAAATGCCCGATTGTTTCTGCTGTCGTACAGGATCTGCCACGGTGTAGCAACACGCGGATTAGGGAGTAATTGGGGGCGCGTCAGGTAAAGACGGCTTGGATTCCTCTGCTCTGCTCAGAGCCGTCGTCCCTCCGCATAACTCGCGCTGATCACACCAAGCGCTGCCCGCAACCTTCCCTCTTCCTCCTCCCGGTATATCTCCTCTGAGAGCTCCATTAGCCTGCGCTGAAACTCGGCATCGCCCTCGTTGTCATCCTCACTGGGACTGTTGTTATCGAGGTCGTCGTACGTGCCGTAGTCGTCGTTATTGTCGTGGTGCATGAAGAGGTCAAATGATGTGATCGGTCATTCGGTTCTGAGAGCCGGAATAGACAGATGTCAACTTGTAAAGGCCGAGAAATGATAAAATGTGTTGCGGATAAAGCTTTTGACATAAACATATCCCATAACGGTAAGCGAGATCATTTGGCACCGTGATATGGGATATGTATATGCATCTATGTTACGGAAAGTCACCCATTGATATGTGTCGAAAAAATTTCGGCCTCCGGCCGATTTGGCAGTTGTTCCGAGGTAGCGGTGACTAAGCGGCGCGCACCATAGAACGAGTCGCAAGGTCAACCACAGAGACGGTTCACACAGTATCCTGGGCCCCAACGAGATTCTCCACGCGTCGATGAATCAGTGGCAAGGAAAACACGCGAATAGGACTGAGAGATTCATCGTCGTATGAAGTCTTAGTAGACAGTATACTGGATCCGGATCGAGTCAAAAGTCAAATCACTTTAGCAACGCGACGGACTGACGGGCGTGACAGCTCGCGACAACCTCATGTCACAGTTTTCATCCAGGTTCCACTTCCGAAGGCGGTGACAAACTATCCCCCGCGTCCCTCAAGCCCGGCGTCACAGCAGCTCATCACGTCGGGACCAGCTTCAAATAGCCCCAGCAGTGGAACGTTAACACACTGTCGATGTGGATGGAGGAATGCAAAGCTCACTGGAGAGGCGTGATCTCTACGGATGCCATGCTGGACTCGATGCCAAAGGCTACCACCGAGGACGATGCATGCATCGCGAAGATCGTGGAACTGGGCCAGTCTGCGTTGGACCGAGCCCGACAGTCACGCGACGAGTTGGACGCCATAAACGCCGCGATCCATCCTCGGCCTCGCAAGAATGGTGACAAGAGAAAGGCCCGGAAGCGGAACGAGCAGTCGCTGGTCAAGACGATGGTGGGCGACTACTTCAGTGTACGCATGCTCTTGTTTCACGTCCTCCTCAGACCACATATTTCGCTGACATCACGCAAAACTTCGACGACGCACATAAGCCTTACTTCAGAGACTCTCATGCAGAGCTGATACCCTGTGTGGACGATCCCGAAGAACACGATCTGGCGCCTGAGCTATGTGGGACACGACCAGGGATCGCGGCCGATCACAGGCTCACTTGGCGTGAAATTGGGTTCGTTGCCGAAATCAAGGACAACTTGCACATCATCGTGAAACGCACCGGCTTGGATAAAAGGGCTCGTGACCAGCAAACTGACCCGGACGACAAGGACTGCAACGAGGACGAGGACGGCAGCAAAGACGACGAGGACGGCGATGTCGACCACGGCGATACAGATCCTGCTGAGTACAGGCTGACCCAGGGCAAAGAGGGCAGCGAGGCGTACGTGCAGTTGGCGAAGAGTGCAAGGAACATGCTCCTCGCGTCGGGCGGCTTATACGTCTATCTGCTGTTCATTGTCGGTCGTGCCGCCCACATCGTTCGCTACGACCGCTCTGGCTGGACAGCGACTCCTCCGATCTACTGGAGCGAAGAAAAAACAATTCTGCCCCGGTTCTTGCTTCGACTATATAATCCACCCGAAGGACCACAGAACAGCCCGGGGCGCATGCTCGGCGACGACTTCACGATCTCTCCGCTCACCGAGAAGGAGAAGATGGCTCTGCAAGCGGCATTGGACAGGAAGGAGAACAGTTATGCATCTGACTTGGCACAGGTCGACGGTGATCTCACGGAGAGGAGTGTTTCCATGATTGCTGTCCAATTCGTCGATGGTTCTGACGGCGGGCGCCAGCACCAGCTTGTGCACTGCTTCACGTTTGGCCAACCGCTCTGGGTCTCGCATGGACTATTTGGTCGTGCCACGAAAGTGATCCGCGTCGTTCTGGAGTGCGATCTGAACAGCGACAATCCAACGATCTACGCGCTCAAGGACTCGTGGCGTGAAGGCTGTCGCCGGCCTGAGGTGGACTACTACGATGTGGTTGATGATTACCGCCGCAAAAACGCCGAATTTGTGTCCGGACTTGGACCGAGCAAGTCGGTGGCCAAATGCCACGGCTCGATTGACCTGTCGCTCACTCTCGCAAATTCGGCCCCCAGGACATCAGCGAAATGGGACTGTGGATCTCACCGTACGACCTCCGTCTCTCACTTGGGAGAGCGCGCCAGAGATCTGATCCGATACCACACGCGCAGTCTGCTGACACCGATTGGTGTCCGCGCCGAGAGATTCAAATGTGTGAGGGACGTTGTTTCTATAGTTTTCGAAGGTCTGATGGGTGAGTGTCCATTCCGCGGCTGTGTCCCTCTGACTTTGTCGTAGATGCATGGATTGCAGACCTTGCAGGGGTGAGACATCGAGATATCAGCGACGGCAATGTCATGGTCGACAAAGTGCTTCGTTCAGGATTCCTGCTCGATTACGACTACGCGGAATTCTCACCAGAGGGTCTTGCTGCATTTGCTGAGCTATCCAAAGACCGAGCCAGGCAGGATGATCATCTTTACCAGAACATCGACAAGAGCCTGAAAGAGATCACGGTTCGTCCCATCCACCGTGTGGGTGAAAACATGATCTGACGTTGACGCAGGGAACACCTCCTTTCCTGGCTCTGGAACTTGCATTTGACACAGGTGTCGCTCACGGAGCTCATCATGACATCGAGTCCTTTTATTGGCTGTTGATCTGGATCATCCTGCGGCACACTCCTCCAGAATTCCATGGTCACAGCCCATACAAATTCGCAGAATTATTTGGTTTTCACTCTCCGGACAAGAAAAACACATGGATAACTCAAAACGAATGCATTGGACCGCCCAATTCACCCCTCCGATCACTCACTCTTCAATGGGTCTTGGAGGTCAAAGAGCAGAACCGCGTCGTGGCTCCGACACTGGAACAATTGTCTCCAAGCCTGGCAGACGATACCGACAGCAGTGGCGAAGAGAGCGACAGTGCTCCTGTCGAACCTGCAAAGCCACCGAAGAAGATGGCCTTTCGCTCTGTCCACAAATTTATCAAAAAACGGCTTGCCGTTAAAGGCTGGGATACGATGCCGCACGATTGTTGGGTCGAATACATACCCCCTTCTAGCCACAGGACCACTGCGATTCGTCAGCACGACGCTCGCGCTCTCAAGGCTCTCTAGCGCGAATCGATCTCCAGTCCCACGGCCTTGGGATCGCTGCCTCAAAACAGAGGATCCAAGCGAGAGTCAGAGGATACTGGTTTGCAGGCCAGCAGAAAGCGTGTCAAAGTCGGAAGCTAGGACGAGCGAGTCGGACGTTCCGTCTGCTTCGAGTAGAATACCACGTCCCACACATTCTTTCTTGGTTCACAGGTGTCAGTCAAGGTCTTCCTGTCATCTTTGACGTATGTACGTCAGACCGGATGATGGGAAAAGTCCCAGGGAAGGCTTAAAGTGTACTACGAAAATGGAGGACCATGAACGATGTTGCTCACGATTCTCGTGCTGCTTACCCTGTCTGCTGCTTGCTCTGGCGCCCTGCACAAGTCCTACAGGCGTGCAACCTTCACCGTCAAGGCGTTGAATGTGGCTCTTCCCAAAGCAGAACTTTCTTCTCATACCACATACTTCGCCGACCTCACGAGTCGAGCTGCGAAAGCGCCCAGGCCGGTTAACATCTCGTCTATATACTCTTACAATCCATCTACAAGATACAGCATGTACTACTCTTTACTAAACGCATACATTATAACGTGAGATCAAACACGCCAACAGTGTTTCCAAAGCCCGCCACCGCGCGTTGGCTGACCACGACCAGCGGCGCAACGCGCGTAAATGGAAGCCGAGGCACTGCGGCCACTGACTCTGAGACCCGATCCTGCTTCAATGCGGCCAGGGAAGAGCTCTGCGATCGCGTGCCAGACACGTCACAGAGCCAGACCTCCCAGCGTTCAAGCGTCGCAGGAGACAAGCCGGATTCGTCGTTTGGTTTTCCTGTGGTTGTACTCCCTTCCCTCGGACGTCTCCTCACTCCAACAACCCGACGGTTCCATAGGTCCCATGCCCCCCGGTCACAGGTCATCTCCGACACAGGCACAACCAGAGCATTCAGCCAAACAGATGACATCCGGCCGTCAATCGGACTGAGCAGATCGTCGCCGTCCGTCTCGAGCGAGCGCCGCCCCGCCGCTTCCTTCTCAGATGCCCGGCGAGAATGCACACCGTGGCCAGACACCGGGAACTGCGGTGCCTCGAACATCGCGCTCAATTTGGCTCGCGGGATAGACGGCGATCCGTTGGGCGAGGGTCCCCTTGACCGTCGACCGAGACTGCTGTCCCACGAAGGAACGCGTCTCGGAAAATGGAGGTTGCACGAACATCGTCTCGGCTGGTCCGTCATATACAAACGGAAGATAGTCACCACCTGATCGGCAGAGCAGGCGAGGAGACAGCCATCGAACGGCAGCTTTCCGCACGATGAACACAGGGCCAACGAAACAGGAGAGACGCGCAGACGGTTGATCCGACCATGCGACCCGTCCAACAGACGAATCATCTCGCCCGACCCACCATCCCACAACGAGACTATCCCCGATTCGGTCGTAACAGCGACAACCAGCCGAGTGGTCCCGCAAAGATCCACCAGACATGCATCGGCAGCGGAAACCAGATCTGCAGGATTCCCGGCAGCAATCGGATGGTCGGGGAGAACGAGGGGCCTCGACACCTGCACCTCGACCAACTCCAATGTCCCATCTGCCATACTGAAGCCAAGCAGCACGTCTTGTCCTACTCGCAGCAGCGTCACGTGGATCAGAGCTATCCCGCGCTTCGTCGGAAGATGATAAGTCACACTGGGATCGATCCCTAGCTTCCAGCAGGCAGCGATCCCGTTCTCGTAGGTGGCCAATAACGTCACCGCTGCTTCACGGTCCAGCGGTGAATTAGGCTCCGAGCAGGGCGATGTGCGATTCGATGGCGTGAGGAAATGGAGACTTACGACTCCGGCAGACGAGTCCGCCAGAGACAGAAGCGGAAGGGGGGTGATGCCCCGGCTGTCGATGCTCCACACAGCAATGTTCCCAGAACCCGTTCCGACAGCACAGTAGTGGCCCCGGCAGTCAACGGCCACGCTCGTCAGCGTCGACGACGACTTGGACGAGCTTGCAGACCGCAGTAGCACATTCGTGACATCAATCGCGATATGCTTCCGATTTGGTAGGCGCCAGATGACGACTTCGTTGTTCAGGCCGACGCAGGCAACCACATTTCCATCTTGGCTCGTCGCCATCAGCTCTACGTCACTGTTGAAAGCGCGTGGAAGAGTCGAGAATGCGATCTGTGACGTCAACGGTTCTTCCATTTCTTTCTCGACCGAATCACCGTCTGGTCGGTTCCTTTGGGCTTCAAGCAGCTCCGCATCCTTCAATAGATAGAGCAACAGTCCATAGAGCAGACCAGTCGACGCTGCGATCGGTGCCACTACGATTTTGAACGTCCAAAAGATGGCTCGGAAGGTGCGCATCGACATCTTCGACTTGAGGGCCTTGTGATCGGCAGGGCTGTGCTCCGAACGGAACGTGAGGACAGTCGGCTCTTCGATGCGCAAGTACAATGTCGTCTCGTTGGGGTTCAATGTCTTCCAAATATTCCATGCGGGCGACTGCGGCTGATTCATCGGGGTGGAAACGTTCATCTTCGCACGAGTAAGGGGCTGCACTTCTTCCAAAGGAAGCCGTGTGTCCGGTGGGATCGTGGTGTAGTAAAGCGTGGCGGTAATCGCCAGAAGCTTGGTCGAGCTCAGCCATGGAATCGATGCATTGGTGCAGATACGCACCATAAACAGACTGATGTTCTTCGTTGCACGGCCATGCAAAAGTTTTTGGATAACGGCGACAACTTTCTCTCGGGGAGAATGCGACTGTTTGAAAGCAACGTCCTTGGGTACAACGGGTGCCAGGCTGGGGTTTTGGCGCAACAAATCATCAAGCTTCGGCCGATGGTAAGTAGCTGTGCAACTGGTCACAGTCCCACTCACCTCCAGTCGTTGGATATCAATCGACAAAACAGCCATGAAGAATGTGTGCGCAAGAAACCAGTGGGCCACCAGCACGACAATAGCAAATACACAAAACTGGCGGATGGCGCCAGTCGAAAAGACGGAGATGATTCCCAGAATGCTGTTGTACGAGACAACTTTCAAGGTATTCGAGGTTCCGGCGTGGCTCAGGCCCTCTGCGATACGCTGTTTAACCGAAAGGGTGACAGAGGTCTTGCCGACAGCGCCAACCTGATAGAGATTAGCTGTGATTAGGTGAAACAGAGGGAATCTTACCAGGTTGAACATGTTCTCAGCGCCGACGAAGACTATCACAATAGGGAGAAGCTCCCTGTGAAGAATGAGAGACTGTCAGCATCGGTAAAGACACTGGATTACCAGGGAACAAGTGTCACTTTGAATCCGACCAACGCGCAGACACTCAGACTTGTTATCGTACTGACCGCAATTTCCACCAGCGCAGTGAAGGTCAATCCGACCCGAGAGTGGACTGCATCCATTTGCCTCATGGACCACGACACATAGACAACAAAAGCCCCGTATGCGAGATACAAAACGGTGGAAAGGGCCGTCCATTCCTTGCCAAGCTTGAGGCTTTCATGATACTACCTTTTGATGAGTAACCGCTTACGCACGCTCCAGGAACCCACCTCGAGCTGGATCAGGGTCGGCTCCACATGCTTCTTGAGGCTCATCGTCCTCGGGGCGCCCGCACTAGCCACGTCAAGCGCCTGTAGCCAAGCAATGTGTTCCGCAGTTCCCAGACAGTCCGAATTGGGGAAGAAATAAGTCAGCGCCAGGAACGCTGCGTAATCGAAAGTCCCGCTCGTTCCCTGATCGTCGGAACCACGGCCAGCTAGAACCATCTGCGGAGTGATTGGGATGCCGGACACCGAGGCATTCCGTGTGAGCAGAGTGTCAAGGATGTTGTGGTCTTCACGCAGGGTCGCTTCATTGTAGCCCCAGAACGCCAGGGGTGACAGCACAAAACATTCTCCGTTGCTAGCATCCGGTCGCTCCAAGCAGCCGAGTTGGAGTTCCTCTATCCGCCGCTCCAGATCATAGGTGGATTGCAAAATTTGATGGTTTACGGCACCATCAAACGAGCTCTGGATGAAGATGCGCTCGACCCGAAGTGCGTTGTCAGATCCACAGCTGGCGTGTGTTTTGGCCCGAGAAACGGTGTCCCCCAGCACTCGTAGCGAGTCATGTCCGGACCAGACATCCAGAAGATCTTGCGGATTCCGTGTGACGTCGAAGAGCGAGACCGGCCGCGAAAAGGAGGACAAGGTGTCGTTATTGAAGTACAGCGCTAGTGCTGGGTAGAAAAGAGAGGTGATGACGATGCCAGAGATGAGGATTACTCGGATTTGATGCGTCGCGCAGTGCCTGAAGTCGACAATCAACGGAGTGGTGGAGAGAGAGCACAGCACGCACAATCCGAATTGTAGGAAGAACCGATTTCCATATGTCCGTGCATATTCAAGCAATAAACTTGGGCTGTACTGAACCATGCTGGGGCACGAGTTCAAGGACCGTGTGCACTGTCACGGCTTAATATTCGAGAAGCGATGTGGGTAGGATCAGAGAAGCATGCGATAAGGAGGAGTAGGTCGAATCCACGAGAAGTTTAAGGATATACACCGGGCATATGAGGACGCGCGAGGTGGTCTCCGCGGCAGGAGAGAAGGACGAAAGCACAGCCCCCCTGTGGCCGAAGCGTCCGAAGCGACGGGATGGGTCACGTCATTGTGACCGACTCAGCAGGATAGCCCCTGATTCTACCTGTCCAGACTTGCTCAATGCAACTGCACCTCGACTCGGCTCTACAGAATAGACTCAAATACAAACCCAGGACTAGGCTTTTCTAAAAATCTCCATGCGAGCCTCTCCTTCACTCCGTTCCTCTTCCATTCGTTCAGGGACTGCGGATAATATGGGAGAACCCCTGGCAGAGTCTGATCGTGGGCCAAGACGACCAGGACATCCTCAAGGGCATCAAATTTAGCCAGCTTGTCGATTGATACACGTGCTGCGGGAGGATCACCGTGCACGGAATTAGGCAGGTCCGCAACAGATAGCAGCGATTCTGATCTCGACGCGATATCGAAGTCACCGAGCTGGCTGTCCGGAGACCAGAAAAAGTCCGTCGAGACACCTTGACTGAGCTGCGCGGGGCAAGGGTACGCTTTCTGAAATGCCGATCGAGGCCGCAACTGGCCTACGTGATGGCACGCATCGGCGCCGAGGAGGACGAACGTCTTCTCCGTCACCCTCGCAAGCGCTGTGATGTGTCCGGGGTGATGTCCAGGCGTATCAATTAGGACGAGACTTCCGTCGCCGAAATAATCGAATGCGGCCAGACTACTAAAGGTCGAGTTGAAGTTGAGCTTCAGTATCTCGCGACCACTAAGTAGGTGAGATCAGAATATATGCGCTACCGTCGAGCTCAAAATGCGCACGCGAAATCGGTTTCGAGCAGCTCTGCATGTGGGTATTGAGGATACGTGCTGGTATTCGTGGCCGGTCCGATCAGCAGTTTGGTGCTCTGCGGCCACAAAGACATCTCCGGTATGATCAAAGTGTGAGTGGCTACATCCAGCTCAACGTTCCAACTGCTCATCTAACAAAGATTCGAACGCACCTCCAAATTACAGCGCTTACACTGCTCAAATGAACACCGCTGTCTTCCAACTGCTCTGTGATCGGTCCAAACGGGGCGATAGTATACACCCCATCCTTCACCAGGGTTGCGACAGTCGGCGCGAGATTATGCGGGTCAGCGCGCACTCCAAGATCAAACATGACGCGTTCCCTCTTCCCGTTAGACTCGTGCTCGATGAGAAAGGCGTGCACCGGGACCGCGATGTTGTTATGACCCGGAAGAATGGGCTGGAAGAAAGGAACCATAGATGCAGTGATGCTAGCTACATTGAACGCCTTGACGGTGACGGTTCCACGCCTATGGGACTTGTGCAGGGCGCCAGAGCAAGCAGCAGACAGGGTAAGCAGGACGAGAATCGTGGGCAACATCGTTAATAGTCCGTCATTTCCATAGTACGCTTTAAAGCCTTGCCCAAGACTTCCCTCGCCATCCAGTCTGACGTACGTCGAAGATGTCAGGAAGACCCCAATTGACCGACAAAGGTCTCCGAGCCCCGAATAATCCAATATGGGAATTTGTCACGGCCGCTACGGAAGATAATTACACTGTTGTGCTAGAAAGTTGCCCCTGGTTTCACAGAAGTGGCCGGAACTACTCGAGATCATCTCAGGCGGTGTGTCGTCCGACTCTCTCGTCCTGGCTTTCGACTTTGCGACGCGTTCTGCTGACCTGGGCACGAGTGTCTTCTGCGTCTTGCTTGGCTGCTTTGCTCTGTGATCCATGTGTAGCATGAACAATGTGTTTCAAATGCCGCCGCGAGCGCGTCGCATCACGTGCTCCTCACGTGATGGAATGGCACCCACCAGGTGACTGAGGACGCTCTGAAAAACTTCGGTTGTGTTGAATTTCGCTCAGATGAGTGGATTGTGGGATGTATATGGTACATATATACATGCATGCAAGAAACTGAGAGTGTCGCCAGCGCGAGGTACAAGTTTTATACCGTGGGCTCATTGGTCAACCTGCAGCTCCAGCCGCTCTCCACCAGAGGGATGAATGGTGGTGTGTGTTGATGTAGTAGTAGGCCATTATCCCTTGCAAAACTCATCTCAGGGCTTGGCTTACACGGCAGTGCACCTCTGGGGCACCTCAGTTACCACCGCCATCACCCGGTTGCACCCCCGCGGAGCTGAGTTGAAAAGTAGCACCTGACAATCAGGACTGCCATCCACCCATGTGACCGTGACTCGGCGCGTGGTGCTCCCAGCCGTCTTCACTCCCGTCACTGCACCAATTTCGACTGAGTCGACCTTTCTTCGTCTGTCGAATATCTCATGACTACGCTTCGTAGCTCTGAGTTTTTCAAGAGGCAACCGGACGCCCAACAGTTATCAGTTTGTTAAATCGTCATTTCCCGTGAAGCTAAACCGTCACTTCTGTGACAGTTCGTGTTTGATGGGAACGCAAGCCGGCCCGCGTCACTCACATCTCGAATCGGGTTTCCCTCGAAGGAGTCCGAGATATAACATGCGCTAAACCCGAGCAGTGTCTAACATCTGATACAATCCTACGCTACAGAAGTCAACCACCGCTCATAATTGAACGAAGGGACGAATTCTTTGCGGCCATCAAGATATTGTAGGGTATGATCGACATGGATGATAAACTCCTTCGGAATCTCACCGACGGAATCAGGCGCCTCACCCATCGCTGTCCGTACTGCCATTGAGTACACTTCGAGGTCTTTACGCTCTCCGAGAACAGTTGGCGCGTCCAAGATCTCCTGGCACTGGTCAATGTACCTGGCCAGAACTCATTGAGGACTAGTTTCAGACGGCAGTGCGATTTCAATGACATACCCTTGATATTCTTGGACTTCTGTTTCAGAGACAGATGGTTGCAGTTTCTGCCGAGCGATGCCTTCAGTAGAACGGTCAGTCACGTCGAGCTCCACAATCGGTTTGTTATCTTCGACCCGGGACGGAGGTTGCACATGATTAGTCTTCGCACTAGACGAGGGCTGCGCTCCTATCCAACGCCGGACACCCTGAACAACACTGATGCAATCTGTGAGACGAACGAGCCTATAATATACAAACTTACCTCGGATGATGTCTCGAGCTGCGGGTTCCGTGGGGCTCAAAGGGACTGTTGTGGATGTCTCTGAGCGTCTTCCCCGGTAATTTCAGCGTGCTGTTCATGGAATACGCAAAGTGTTTCCCCAGAGACGTGAACAGCAGCGGCCGGTAGTATTCGATCCAAAAGTCCGACTTGTTGTGAACGAACTCTCGCAGCGTTCGATTGCATACGGTCATAGGATACGGTGGTTCCAAATTATCTTCGTTGAACCATTTTTGATAGCCACCGCGGACAGCTTTATGGACGATGGGTCCTTCAGCTTGAACTCCCAAGAAGAGGTTGATTGCAGTTTGCTTGTCAGCATCTGCAACTGTCAATGAGCCAGTAGACTTTCGTGCAAGGAGAACTTGCCAAGCAACGAGTTTGTGTAGAACCGCCGGATATTCTCAATGATGTCCCTCGAGTGACTGTTCCAATGAGGCATCCGCCGGTACGTTTCCACCCGGTTCACAAGGGCACTGCCTGTGTATTGCAAAGCAATCGCTGGATTCCTGTCAGTTAGACAGCCGTCCTCGTTGCGCCCGACTTACAATCCCCATGATCGTGATACATTTCCGTCAACATATTGACCGCATCGGAATCAAACGCCAGATTTGGGTTGTCGACGACACCCAACGCATAGAGTTGATGCCCCAGCGCTCTTTTGCCGAAGACGAACTGCGCTGCGTTGGTTCGATCCAGACAATCCACACAGTTCGTCCGGCAAACACCATTCTGCAGCGATATCGTGCTCCTCCAGGTCGATACCTCGTCCGAGTTCATCTGAAACAGATGGGAATAGGGTTCAGGTCCGGAGTGGAAGAAGCTGGTCATCTGGATCGACTCCTCTGCCATATCTTCCAGAATGCTGATCACGTCTTGTGTCTTCCTACGACGCTTGTAAGAATCGGCTCGATAGAAACAGGTCTTTACCGCCGCACTCTTTGTAAGCCCTAGACATATCCCATGCCCTGTAATGCATCCGTTTCTCCTTGGGTAGAAACTGGTTGAGATAGTTGACGCAATGTGTGTATTCGTCCAGCAACTTAGATTCTCTGGGGACCGGCTCTCGCTTCTTGATGAGATTGAGGATCATCAGGGGACCACCGTAGCGCTTGAGCAGATTGTCGAAATGGCGAGCCGCAGCCGTGAAAAAGGGATCGACGACGCTGACTGAGATGTGTCAGAATCCGCATCAAATGACAGTATTTGCGACTCACTTTCAATCGGAGGCCGAGGGCTCATACTATTAGTCTCTTGTGTCCAGTAGACGGGTATGCTGCCGCGGTACTGAGCGTGCACGGCTATCAGATCAACACTCTGCACGGCAAGTCCTACTTCACCTGCACATAACTCGTATAATTGGGACTCGGTCTCCGATCTTCATGCTCCTCGGCACCAAAATCACGGGCAGGTGGATAGTAGAACGGGGTGGTCAAGGCCTCAGATACGATCTGTTCCGTTTCAACCTCGTTGGCCACGTTTCCCTGCCGGAGGGTGAGCGGCACACGAGACTCTGAACACGACTCGACTGACCTCATCGTTGACTCCTCGTTTTAGGTAACGAGCCCCAGCAAAGTGGCGAGACCGTCGGGCAATGAGGGTAACGAAGATAACGCGGCCAAGCACCGTGAGCTCTATCCGATGCGTCAGCCACCGTCAGTTATTGCCACCTTCAAAGCATACTAGCTTGGTCGACATGTCCATGCACCATGGGAAGCATCCAATATGATTTGAGATGGGGCCGGTCTTCTTCTCCAAACGCGGCAGTCATGAGATGAAAGTTCCAAGCGAAGCGATCGTTGAACGTGAACTTGCCGTTCGCTGGACGGCTGCAGCCGACGAGATTGTGCTGAAGCGTCCATGTAATGTCGTAGGTGTAGCTATGCGGTCGATCAGAGCTCTGCGGCTTGTTCCATGACCAAATCCAACCTGAAGTAGAAGTTCTTGGACATATCCACTTGCTTGAAAATGTTCATCAATCGTTGCTCTTCAGCCTGTTTCTCGACTTTGTGATTGAAGCACACGGGAATGATCTCTGTTCCTTCGCAGTGAAAGATATAGTGCCCTCCCAGGAGCGCGACATATGACCTCTTCGTGATCAGAATCATATACCAGCCAGCCGTAAAGCGTATAAAGCCTAGAAACATGAGTCTGAAAGCAAAGCAAGCGTCTGTAAAGCGTACCGGCAACCCCAAAGTAGACTCTCGGCTTGCCCAAGCCTCCCGAACTCTTATTCCCATCATCCAACATTTTGATCATGGCGCTCATTTGCTTCCCGCTATACTCCGCGTCGTCCTCGACGACGTTCAGCTCCTCCTGCGACGTGCGGTCGACCTTGATGATCCGATGTCGAGAATCGGTCGTGTTTGACGCGATTATGAAGAATCGCAGCTTGTTCTCGTAGAGAAGATACTTGTTGTACGGCGCAGGTTTCCGCTGGGACACCATGGAGGCGCGCGGGCGGTTGAGATTGAGTCCCGTGCTCGCCTTTGAGCTTAAAGAAGGTGCTGATTCGTGGGGCGACTGCACGGTGATATCAGCCGCGTCATTATGCGCCGTGGGCTCTAAAGCAATGGTGTTCGAGGTCTGAGACATTCATACGGCGTCTAGTTTCACGCGTCGAAGAAGAGAGGACGTAGAGAGCTCAAGGAGGATGTCGAGTTGGTAGTTGCCAGTCAAGTGGCATCACGTCATGTCGATCATGTCAGATTCCATCGCGTTGTTCTTGACCGCCAGCTGAATGAGCCTTCCGTTCTCAATCTCATAGTAGACGCGCTCAGTAGCGGTAAGGGATTCGATTTCACAAAAAGAAACGAGGGGGCTCATTCTATTTGTCTGAACCCTTCCAGTCCATTCGTTTCTGCCCAGTCAATCATGCCTTCCAAGCCTAAGAAGAGAAAGGTGGTGCCTGAACCTCTTGCCAATCCACCTTCAGAGTCCCAAGATGTCTCACTTGGGTTCTTTCCTCTCGCACGATACACCTCCGTTGTGGGTGTCCACACATCCCTTCTCGCATTCTCCGCACTCTTTCCTCCACGGATGGACTTCCTCAAGCCGGACATCGACAGAACTGTGTTCACTTCCCAGGACCGCCCACAGCATCCATTTCTCGACGCACTGACTGAAAGTCCGGTCTTCACTCTCGCGACGATGTGTCTCGGCGCGGTAGTTGTGCAGAGCTGGTGGGCGGGCTGGATCCGCAGCTGGAGTGTTGACTACGCGTTGCACGGCTCGGTAGTGGAGGTCAAGCTAGAAAGGGAGCGTTCCGATAAACAGAAACTTTCTGTGAGCCCTTCATGCATGCTACCGACGCCCGGAATCTCAAGTGTTGCCCCAGACCATGATAAATGCTTGGCTGTTGACGGGGGCAGCTTCTTTCTTCTTCACTGTTGTCGCAATAGTCTTTGGAGCGCCTTTAACCAAGTATGAATGTTATCCTTCTCATGGTGATTCGTCTCTTACCTCATTCGTAGTCATCTGTCGCAAACATATCTGCTGGGTCTTCTGCTCTCGATCTTGGCAGTCTTCCCGTCGGCCTACGCACTTGGTGTTCCCGATTCCACCTCAAATGCACTATGGTTCACTTGGATCCGCCTGTTTGCCGAATTCTCGTGCGTCTTCTGGTTGTTTGCGGAACACATTTCACAATTTATCAGCCTCCGCTCTCCCATAGAACGGGCACTTGTGTTCCCGGCTCTCGGAACTCTAATCGGTAGCTGGGCGGGTGCCATTCCTATCGCATTGGACTGGGATCGTCCCTGGCAGGCGAGTCCTCTCCCTTCTCGTCTAGTTTCTGCTCTGTGACACGGCCCACCAGTCATGGCCGTTGACACCTGCTTTCGGCGCGATCTGTGGATATATCGCATCATCCGTATTCGCCCTTGCATCGAATGCGACCCTTTTCCTGGCCGACGAACACCGGCAATCGCAAAGGAAGACACAATAGAGTACGTCCGTCTATGTATGCATGTCACATTACAATTTGTCTAGATTCGATTTCTAATTCTTTGCAGCGGCGCGAAGATCGCCGATGGAGCTAGTCACGTAGTCTGGGACGGTAGGGGACGGGTTCGGACCAGAAATCTCAGCTTCTGTCGTAATACCTGCGGAACGTTAGAATGCGAAGCAGGGCTGCCGCCGTGTAGTGTCCACATACCACTGAGGACGAGCAGCGTTGCAAGCCCACCGCCCTGACCGAAAAGGATGTCGGTGTTGAGGCGATCTCCGACCATGATTGTGCGTTTAGGGTCGAAGTTGACCTTGGCCTTGATGCAGTCCAGCATCGTGCTCGCTGGTTTGCCGATGCTTATGGGATCACGGCCAAGCGCGTACCGCAAAGGAGCGCTGATCGCTCCAGCCCCTGGTAGCAACCCTGCACCGGCAGGATATGTGCTGTCCTCGTTTGTGACGAGAAAGGCACAGCCGGGGTTACGCGTCAAGTACTGGAACGCCTTCGAGAGTTTGGTGTAGTTGATGTTCGTGTCCAGGCCACAGAGAACCGCGCCAACATCGGGATCAAGAGTAAAGTGGTCCAAAGAGAAAGTTTCGAGGGTACAGTCGGCGGGATCCTCGAAGAAGATGGGCAGACGCAAAGATGGGTGACTGGACTGCGCACCATGCCTCCTATGAACGAGACACCCTCTCCTTGCAACTCTTCTTCCATCCCCTTCATCCCGATGACATAAACTTTCTTGTCCTTGGGAAGCTTCATCACTGATGAGATGTATACCGCAGCTGCATACGCAGAACCGTAGATTTCATCCTGAATTGGTTCAGCCTAGAACGGCAACGAACAGTTGGGAGGAAACAACGCACCACATGAGCCTCCACACCCAATTTGTCAAACTTGCCCTTGTAGCTCTTGCGGGACTTGGTCGCGTTATTGGTGACGAAGAGGACTTGCTTATCTAGTGGGACTCAGAAGGATATATGGCGGCGGCGAAACGGGAAGGCGCACTTCGACTCCGGAGCAATTGCAGGACGTCGATGGCACCTTCGATAAGGCGATCGCCGTGCCAAAGCACCCCATCGCAGTCAAACATCCATGTGTCGTACTTCTCCAAGAGAGCGTCGTACTCTGATGCGGAGGATAGGCGGGTGCTCATTGTCGTCGGCCCCAGAACTAGGGAAATGAGAATTTGATCCGAGAAGCCACCGCCACATGCAAGGACATGCTTGGAGTGCCAGGATCCGGGCCGGCGTGCCACGCGTCTGCGAGCCCTGCGGTGATTCGGACTTGTGGCTCGTCAAATGGCAACAGCGAATGAGATTATTTGCGCCGCGTTCGATTATGTATGGCTAACGTACATTCGATTCACGGAGAGATTTCAATCTGATTTACGGCCAAATGCCCGCGGCCGAGGACTGGTGACATTGGGCGGGGTCTATACTTGCATAAAATGTATTTCATTGCAAATTTGCAATGTTCTGCTGTGTGCTACGCGGAACATGCACTGTATGCGAGCCCTGGGCCCTGTATCCAGGGATTTCACACTGCAGCCTCGCTACGTTGGCTACGCATGGTTGAAATCTTCTGAAACGAGCTTCAACGGTCGAGGCTGTCAATCGGATTTATGATCGGGTGGTCTAGAACTTGACGGATGAACTACAGATTCCAAATCTGGACAGGCCCTGCAGTGGATATCAGCACGACGACCATGATTTCTTGCAAAATCCGTTCCTCATCGTTCCCTCCCCCATGTCTGCAATCGGCATCGGCGCGCTGCCCCTCGAACTGCTCGGTGAAGTGATCACCCACTGCTCCACCAGTCACTGGGCTGCACCACTCATTCTCGGTGCCGTGTCGCGTCTGCTTCGGGACGTCGCGTTCCGCACACCCACGTCTTGGCGCACGCTCAAGCTTAAAGAGGGGGACGACCCAGAAAAGGCACATTTGTGGTTCAGCCGCTCTGGAGCATGCAGCATCGATCTCCACATCCAACTCGACGGCAAAGACACACCCGAATCGCTCCTGGCACCGATTCTCTTTCCCCTACATCGGATCGGATCCATAACCCTGAATGTGCAGACTCAGCTCCAGGCCAGTCAGGCTCTGGCCTGTATGTATCACGAGCCCATCGCCCTACGCACTCTGCGAATCTGTGCCACTTCGCAGGACGCGCTCCCCGTGGCCAACCCCCCTACGTTCCCCGCGCTCTCAGGAATTACTCATCTGGAAGTGACCAATGTCGTGTTGTCGTCACTGCCTGGTCTGGACCTCAGAAGTCTCCAAAGCTTCTGTCTCGCCCAGCCCCTTGTTTCGTCGCCTATTTCCGGAGACGATGTCTTGGCACTCTTACATTTTGCCCCCGGCCTGCGGAAACTTTTCATCGAGGCTCGCCTGACTGAACCGAGTGCGGCGGAGATGAATTCCGACCACGAGGAAGAGGAGGAGGAGACCCTGCATCTGCCCGAGCTCGAGGCACTCGAACTCAGGGCCAATAACATCATTCCCGTGCTCGACCACCTGACCGTTCCGTCTCTCACGGATTTGCGGATCAAGGATTTCGACGGGCGACGAGCAGGAGCCTCAGAGGAACTGGGTGCATCCTTGCATCGACTCCTTGTGAGGATGGAGTTGGGAGAGGGGAAAATAAAAAACAACGATCTTCATCGGCTAGAGGTGGCTGGACTCAGCGTCGACCAGACACACGAAGCTTGGGAGAGATGTCTACGCAAAATGAAGAGGCTGCAGGTGCTCAGATTTGATTCGCCAGCAGACGAGGTGGCTCTCACGTCACTTCCACCATTCCAAGCGCCAACGACGGCTGCGGTTCCGAGGGAGATTCGCGCAGGGTTCGATTTCGGATTCGGGTACAATTGACGGGTAAAATTCAATAATATGCACCACATTTAGTGACCAAGCAAGGCTAATATTCGCATGTAATCATCGCGCACGCTGTGGAATGTTTCATCCAGTTTTTCGAGACGTTCCGCCTTCTCCACCTGAGCCAAAGATTCCTAAAAATCTATCAGACATCGATGTCGTCCTGTTAAAGCAGACTAAACGCACAAAATTGAATCGATACAGTCGTTCTTTGACCTGTAGTCGATAAGCTCTCATCGCACGACCGTCGCTCGGATCGAGTCGAAGTAGTATAAGCATCTCAATCAAACGTCGGAATTGCCGCTGCAAAAAAACTATCAGAACACTGCAGTATTAACATCACGAATCATACCCCCGCTATTTTTAGCGCCTTGCGCCAGTGCTCGACCCAGACTTTATCAGCCGGCGGACCCATCTTGCCTTGGACTGTCGCAGTGCTTGATCCTCCTCTTCCACTCCGGCCACGCTTCCCGACGCCGCCAACCCGGCCGCCACCATGAGACGAGATTTCGCCGCCGACTCCTTCCTCCATGAAGCGTTGATGCGACAGCAGCATCAATAAATCGTTCTTGTCTCGCAGATCCTCGAATGCTTCAGCGGGGTCTTCCACTGTTAGTTCGGAGATACGCTCTTCAGAGAGTACGTATTGATAGATTCGATTGTAGAGTTCGGCTATCAGAATCGTGAGTTAGCATTTTATACAGCAGGGGAGGCTCACAGCCATGTCCGCTACGTTGATACGGTGGAAGAATGACAAATTGACTGCGAATGTCTTAGAACGCACCCCAACAGTGTGAAGGTTTCTTACCTGAGCCGTAGTCGGATCTTGTCTGGAAAGCAGTAGAAAGGGTACAAAGAAGAATATCCAACAAAGTGATATGTTGCAACGCTGGGATTGGACCGTCGTTTCCGCTTCTCGTATCTGTGAGGCAGCTGCGTCAGTAACTCTTGATAGGCCGACACTGGCACATACAGCACCATGAACTCCCATGTTTCCTCATCCTCTTCAATATACGAACCGCCCTCGATGTAAAGCAAGACAAACAGCTGCATGCGCCGATGCAACTCTGTGAAACCAGGTGAATTCCATGTTGCCTGAATGAACCTTGAGCAGTCGCCAAAACTAACACGGTCATAGACGCACATGGTATATCTCGAATGCAATAGCGTTTTCACTTTCCGGATCCAATGATTCTGTGTCCTTTCCCTTCCACCCTGGCGCTGGTCGTGTGTACGTGTGGATCAGCTCCCCGACAGGTTTAAACGTAGTCGCCTCATTTTCAACAAGAGCCCTCCAAGTCGCCTCGTCCGTATGGCATTCTTTTCGAGTTTTAATTTCTGCAATGGGGTCGAAGGAAGCCCTCACCGTCAGGCAAAAATTCGGAGAGCGTTCCTTCAACATCATCCACTGTGGAAGACGACAATTTCTCCCCATATTTGACGTGCAGGAAGGGTGTCAGAGACGCAGAGGCGAGTCTCAGCTACAGAAAGTGTAAGAACGCGGTACAGATGATGAGAAAGGCCCCAAACCCACGTCTATAACCAGGTCTCTGTATCCATAGATCTTCTCGTCCGTCCCGAATATCTGAGCGACAAGACGCTTTTAGACGCGCTAAGATGGTGACGAGAGGTGTTACAGACGGGATAGGTGAATGCCGGATAGAATTCGAACGCCTCCTGCTCTCCGAGCGACTCTTGATCATCGGTGGCACGAACTATGTGATGGACCAAGAAATGGCGAGAAATGTACTGTGAGAAACCAGTGAATACGCGGAGGAGGGAAATAGAAGCCCACCCAGAGAGATTTTGAAAGCATCGTTGGCGCTGCAAGTCCAGTCTGCCATACTTGGAATCTGTGGAGAGAAGAGACGCGTTGTTTGCCATAGTATGTACAGGCGCCCTTGACGTGAACGATCGGATGGATTTGATAGAGCCTAGATCAAGAGATTTCTCCGCTGTGTCCCTTAGCTTCTACCACGATGGCCTTCGCCCCAGCTCCCGTTCCCGAAGAACTGACGACAGATACCACCGCCCCTCCGACGGTGCAGACGCTGACATCAGCTCTGGGCGCCGTTTCTGTTGCCGAGTACGCGACATCAACGACACAACCCAACTTGACTCATTCTTCGACTCAGTATCTCGCCCTCTGGGCCCGCGACACCTGCTGCTGCCGAAATCGATAAGTCGAGTCAAGATCAGGTCGTCACTCCCTGGGATGTTCAGGGATCTGTATCCGCAGATGGCAAGCAGCAAGCGATTGACTACGAGAAGCTGGTCGTTCAGTTTGGCACGCGACGAGTAGATGCAGCTCTGCTAGAGCGGTTCGAGAAACTGACCGGTCAAAAACCTCATGTCTTGCTCCGACGCGGGATGTTTTTCTCTCACCGGCATGTATTGCCCTCCATCGCCGTAGTATCTTATTGATCCCTCCATTCAAGAGAGTTCGACAAAATCCTTGATCGATACGAGCAAGGAAAGCCTTTCTTTCTCTACACCGGCAGAGGGCCAAGTAGCGATAGCCTGCATCTCGGACACATGATTCCCTTCACATTCACCAAGTGTGTGCCTGATGCCTGATTCTGTCAGTGAAAACAAAACGACTCATTCGATATAGATGGCTGCAGGATGTCTTTGATGTGCCACTGGTCATTCAACTCACAGGCATGTATACCTTATAGCTGTTTGTGCCTTACTAGACTGACACATGCTTCAGATGACGAGAAGTTCCTGTTCAAGCATGAACTGAAGGTCGAACAGACCAAGGCCTTCTCTCGACAAAACGCTCGCGATATCATCGCTTCGGGTGTCAATCTCGAAAAGACGTTCATATTCAGTAACTATGGCTTCCTTGGTGGTCCATTCTACGAGAACGTTTCGAAGATCTCAAGGCAGATCAGCTACAACCAGGCCAAAGCCACATTCGGCTTCAATGACTCGTGAGTGGCGTTGAATTTTTATTACTTGCGTCGTCAGACATTCATGCTCACACATCCATAGTGATAACATCGGTAAAATACACTTCGCAGCAATCCAGGCTGCCCCGTCGTTCTCCAACTCTTTCCCGCAAATCTTTGGCACTGTATCGAACATTCCGTGCCTCATTCCTTGCGCCATCGACCAAGACCCATACTTCCGCCTCACCCGTGATGTTGCGCAGAAACTCAAGTATCCGAAACCGGCTCTTCTCCACTCGAAATTCTTCCCTGCACTGCAAGGCCCGCAGACGAAGATGAGCGCAAGTGACCCGAACAGCGGCATTTTCATGACGGACAAGCCCTCTCAGATCAAAAACAAGGTCAACAAACATGGGTTCTCTGGTGGCCAAGAGACAGAAGAAGAGCACAGACGTTTGGGGGGAAACACCGATGTCGATGTTGCTTACCAGTATCTCACTTTCTTCCTCGATGACGACGAAGAATTGGAGAGGATTGGTGTCGTCCGTCGATTGGGCTCGTCTCTCAATCTTGTTCTGATCTTCGATAGGAATACCGCGCTGGCCGAATGTTGACTGGGCAGCTGAAGGCTCGTTGCATAGAACTTTTACAAAAGTTCATCACCGACTTCCAAGAGGCAATTCCCTCTTCCTATCCGTTCTGAGCAAGATACTGATGATATCCTCAGCGCAAAGCGAAGGTCACAGACTCCATGATAGATGCATTCATGGATCCTGCTCGGAAAATCGACCCAACGCTCAAGCCTCGGACATCGACCGTGTAAAATCTATATCTATCCACTGTACCCGAGGACACCAATGAAAAGTGAGATGTCATGTAGACTCCAACGGTTCACCGTGGCCGCCAGTCGACTTTAACGACCAATCAAATAGACCGTCCTCAGCATCTCTCTTCCAGCTGTCTAGTGCGGCAACAGCAGCTTTCCCCCAATCGAAGCCTTCATGTTCAGCGTGCGATTGTGGCCCATCCACGAAAACGAGCAGACTTCTAGATTCTGGCTTGATGAATCCATACTTGATCCCGTTATTCACGAGCTGGCGCAATGGCTCATAGAAAGAAAGGACGTTTATGAGCACCACAGCTGTCAACTTCGGTCAGGACCTGGACAGGTCAGACGAATGCGGCGCGAAGCGGACGTTTGTTGTGGATGCCCAATTGCGTCCAGGTTGTCACTTCCAAGACCTCCTCGAATGTGCCGAACCCTCCAGGAAGACCAAAGAAGCCGCAAGATTTCTTGGCCATCTCTACCTTCCTCTCATGCATAGAGCCAACAACGATATGTTCGATCTAAGAGCTTATAGGATCAGTCAACGCAGGAAGACGAGAGTGTAAGAATGATGCACATTCTCTCTGCCGGTCTCGACCAACGCTACAGTCTTCCGTTCATCCGATCCTACTTTCTCCTGTTCTCCGCCAGCATGAACCATCGCGTATGGTACAATTCCAGTGACTTTACCGCCGCGATCCAACACGGCGCCAGAAACGATACCCATAATCCCTTTAGATCCACCTCCGTAGACTAGAGCGCGGCCAGACTCCGCAATCGCACGTCCTAGAGCTATTCGTGCCGCATGTCAGTCGGTATGAGGGAATGCGTGATTGATGGAAACACCGACGGACAGATCGCCGCCGAACTGAACGCCTTCTCTGTGCCGGGAGAAGATCCACAGTACACTGCAACCGCATTTGGAGGCGAGCTCATTTCGATTATAAGGTTGGCGGTGGTTCAAGTCGACGAGTCACAAAAGTTGTTTGCCAATGATATTGAGCAATAGGTATGATGAGTCAAAGTCTACAGTCATAGGTGAAGGGACATCCACACATCACATCATACATACGCATGAGTAGCAGACGTTACACGCTAGTACATGGTTGGAGACGACGGCTACTTACAACGCGTATAGTCGGGATAATGATAATCGAGAACAGCGCTGCAGAGTATGGCAAGACAAAAAAGAAAAGCGTCGGAAATACTGGCGATGTAGGAACAACAATAAATGACACTGAACGCGCGTCATGCTCGCGGGGCGTTCCCTGCAAAAGGGAAGGATGAAAAAGGGAGAGACTAGAATAGAGAGGGCATAAAAGCACGGTAATGGAGTCCCAGACGCTCTAGATTCCACAGAGTACCAATGATAGATATTCGTTTTCAAGTTGATGTAGCAGCTGAGTAGCAGCCTAGATCAGGCCGGAAAGAGGCGAAGTGTCGAGTGGACGTGCAGAAAGAAACAGAGATAGAGTGTATGATACAAGGGGAAATTGCACTAAGAACGTGATACGGAGCGAGCCATTCTGAATCTCGACCCAAAGGCGGACGCGTGAAGCAAGAAAGGGTTTGGAGGAATGAGGAGCTTGTTTGTGGTGATTGATTTCAGACGGTGATCCCATTCGATACGCAGCTTCGCGCAGTCCTCATAACCACCTTTGCATCCTCCTCCATCAATCACTTTAGATCTACATGGCGACTGGAGCCACTGGACTCGGTGTCGAGATAGTTGCGACTATCAACAAACTCCAAGACGTCTTCACCACTGTTGGGTCCACGCAGATAGACCTTCCTCAGATATGCGTGCTCGGCAGTCAGAGTAGTGGGAAGAGTAGTGTCCTAGAGGTCATTTCACTCGTCCACCCCTCTTGTGCGTGATCTGAACTACAATAGAACATCGTTGGTAGAGATTTCCTGCCTCGTGGTGGAGGCATTGTGACGCGGCGACCACTCGTGTGTTCCTCCTCTCAGTGCAATTGATGACTCTGAAATATATGTCGCGTTCGCCAGGTGCTTCAATTGATTAACAGGCCAGCCACTCCCTCGGCTCGTAAGTCTCTTCTTTCCTATGCCGTCATGGGGGACTCATACTTCTCAAAGCCAATGGCGTGGAGAAGAGTGGAGACAAGATGGCGAACGCAGATGAATGGGGCGAGTTCCTCCATCTTCCAGGCGAGAAATTCTACGACTTCACGAAAATCCGGGATGAAATTGTACGCGACACGGAAGCGAAGACTGGGCGCAACGCTGGCATTTCACCCGTCCCCATCAACCTGCGCATATTCTCCCCAAACGTCCTCACCCTCACTCTGGTCGATCTGCCTGGTTTAACCAAGGTTCCCGTCGGAGACCAGCCTCGAGATATCGAAAAACAGATTCGTGACATGCTCTTCAAATACATCTCGAAGCCGTCATGTATCATCCTGGCTGTTACTCCTGCTAATCAGGATTTGGCGAACTCCGAGGGTTTAAAGATGGCTCGAGAGGTTGATCCCGATGGTACTCGCACAATCGGTGTCCTCACGAAGGTGGATCTCATGTAAGTTCTTGGTGTATTGTCGGTTGATCGACACTAATTGAATATGAAAGGGATGCTGGTACCGATGTCGTCGAAATTCTAGCTGGTCGTGTCATCAATCTGCGACTTGGCTATGTCCCTGTAGTTAACCGAGGTCAACGGGACATTGAAACAAACCGTCCTATCGCAAGCGCTTTGGACAAGGAGAGAGAATTCTTCGAGAACCATCCGTCCTACCGATCAAAGGCGCAATACTGCGGAACCCCGTTTCTCGCGCACAAACTGAACCAGGCAGGACTCTTTTCTTTTCGGCACTCGAATCCTGATGTAGTGTCTAGATCCTCAAAGTGCATGTCCGCAACACACTGCCGGATATCAAAGCCCGTATCACTCAGCAGCTACAGAAGTCCAACGCTGAGCTACATTCGCTTGGTGGGCCTCTGGGTGATAACAACGCCAGCGTTGTATTGGCCGTGATCACCGAGTTTGCATCTGCCTTCCAGACCGTCATCGATGGCAACTCAAACGACATGTCTTTGAACGAGTTGTCCGGTGGAGCACGAATCAGCTTCGTCTTCCATGAGCTGTATAACAATGGGATCAGGAATATCGATCCCTTCGACGAGGTCAAGGACGGTGATATTCGACTGCGCCTGTATAACACTTCGGTATGCCCAGTCACTACTTACCACCTCGACCCTCACTGCGTTTCAGGGTATGACCCCAGCCCTCTTCGTAGGCACAGCCGCTTTCGACACGATTATCAAGCAGCAGATTATGCGTCTGGAGGAGCCCAGTCAAAAGTGTTGTACTCTAGTATACGATGAGCTCATTCGTATATTGGGGCAGCTTTTGGCCAAAATTGTGCGTTCATCGTCGCCTCTGTGTTGCTAGTGTCTCACATGCAATGTAGCAAGCATTCCGTCGTTACCCTGCGCTCAGGGAGAGGTTCAATTCTGTGGTTGTCAGCTTTTTCAAAGCCGCCATGGGCCCGACAACGAAGCTGGTCACAGACATGGTTTCGTGAGTGCTATCTCTCTATCTTGACCAGGTCTCTGAGTCCAGTTTTCAAGGATGCAAGCATGCTATTTGAATACCACCCACCCCGACTTTATCAACGGCCATCAGGCTCTCCAAATTGTCACTGATCGATTGAACGCCAGCAAACCCCCGCCTCCCTCAGCTGACCCCAAAAGCGGCAAGCTGGCTCCTGGTCAAATCAATAACAACCGGGACTTGGATGTTGACGCCAAGAAAGAGGATCCTGGCTTCTTCGGCTCGTTCTTCTCTCCCAAGGGAAAGGCGCCAGCCAAGAAGGGTGCATCGACGATGGACATGCCGCCTGCTGTCATCAAGCCTCAGGCTGCCCTCAGCGAGCGCGAGACGATGGAGACCGAGGTCATCAGTACGTGACAGTTCGACTGGCACTCACTCTTCTCTGACCCATTTTTAGAATTGCTCATCAACTCGTACTTCAACATCGTGAAGAGGGAAATGATCGACATGGTCCCGAAAGCTATCTCGCTTACGCTGGTATCTCACGCGACCAAGAACCTCCAGCGCGAGCTGCTGCAGGAGCTGTACAAGCCGGAGGTGCTCGACGAATTACTCAAGGAGAGCGAGCATGTTGTGGCCCGTCGTAAGGAGTTGGTGACGCTGGTCGCCGCCCTTAACAAGGCCGAGGAGTTCGTTCACTGCTCTTGTCCTCATTTCTTTGCTCATGGCCGCTTCCAGGATTGTTGCTGGTGTTTAGATCGAGTAATATTGGCGGATAGTAGTGGCCTTTCCGTGGAATTAGCGTACAGTCTCGACTTCAATCTTACACTGGCCCTATATATTATACCTTCTAGCGCTGATTGGAGCTGAGAGATTTCACGCGTGATTGTGAATTCATGTCTCTCAAGAGAGACGTTGAATGGGCTATTTACACTAATGACTGTATGCGTCTGTATGTGGTTGTACGTATTGAGTTGCAATGTAGGGTGTATGATGATGGTGATGTGTGAATGCATGTGGACCCCGAAGAGGAATAAAAAAAACAGGCATGGGCATAATGGCAGCAGGTTTGTGGCGTCCGTGCACTACGTTTCCGCCAGCCCACCGTCGCCCAATTTTACGCTCGCCGATCACGGCTTGCGGAATTCGCACAACACAGTGTAGATCGTGTTGAAGGCAGTGTAGATCTCCTCCCGAACCTGGTGCGCAACGCAGTGTCAGCATCCGGGAATCAATGACGCCACACGCCGTTCAACAGCATGCCCACGAGAACGAACACAAAAGGACCAGCCAAGTGTGACGTAGCAATAATTGGAAGACACATACCTTGGCACCAGTCAACACAATCTTTCCAGAGACGAAGATCAGAAGCACGACTTTGGGCTTAATCATGCGGTAGATAAGACCAGGGAATAGCTGTCAAAGAATAAGGAATGGGTCAGAGGAAAAGCTGACGGGACATACTTCAGGCTCGTAGCTGCTGAACTGTCCGTGGCTGTATGCCAATCCCTCCAAACGAATGGGGAATTTCACATCACAACTGCCGACGATGTTCTGGATCTTGAACTCCGAGAACTTGGCCTCGAACCCCAGCTTCTGCACTATACGAGCATACTTGCGCGAAGCTAGCCTCGAATCATCCTCCGACTTGGCACCCGTTACGACCATCTTGCCCGATGCGAAGATCAATGCTGTCGTCTTGGGATCACGAATACGCATGATGACGGCTGCAAAACGCTAATAACACGCGAAACAGTTCGACGTGCATTATCAGAGACAATGCGCTGTACCAACCTTGGGATTGTACTCGGCATTCCTTGCGTGCAAAGCAATCGTCTTGAGGTCTAATCGGCAATCGAGATTGACGGTGGCGACGATGTTTTGAAGAGTGGGGACGATGCCTTCGACGGCGGTGATATGCTGCTGCTCCAGCGTCAAGGGAGCCGGGGTGGCGGCGGCGGCGACAGGTGGAGCAGGTACTGAGGAGGGACCAGCAACAGCATTGACAGGAGGGGGAGTGAGGGCTTTTGCGGGTTGAGGCAGAGCCGCCTGATGCGCCTGCTGTTGTTGCTCGAAGGGGTTGGCGGACCCGCCGGGAAGAGCGAGACCAGGGCCGAAGGCGTTGCCGTTGACCGCAGCATTCTGAGGCTGATAGGTACGAGTACCGAATGTAACCTGGCGAGTGGGCAGCATGATCGTTTGTACTTGTTTGGAGAGTTGGGCGGGGAAGTGAAAAGAAGGACGTCAAAGTCTGGCGCTTCTTATATAGCTGAATTGATGATCACGTGCTCTTCGAGTCACCTTCGGACCGGCGGAGTTTGAAACCTGGCTTTCTTCCTCGACCTTCCATCAACCTCGCTGTCGCCTCAAGGGACCTTTGTTCTGCTTTCGCCTGGCAATCGCTTTCACCATTTGCTTGCTCAATGCATTGCGACCCCCTCGCTACAAAGCAACTACCTCTTCTTGGAACCTTGCTTTCTCAACGGCCTCCCTAGCAACGTCTACCTAGCCATCATTCGTCGCACTGCCCCGGTCAGAATTGACTCCTGAGCTTGATACATCACCCTGATGTGCCGCAGGGCAGTGTGAATGCCTGCCCTGTGAGCTGGCCCACCTGTCCCACGGCTTCTGGAAGGACACTATAGGATTGCTACTGTTCCTGATGCCGGGGAGCCCTTGCTTACCGATTCTTATCTACTTCATCGGCTTCATAGATAACTCGGTTCTCTGTCAATCGATGACTGCAATCTACTCTTTCTTGATCTTTAGCCTGAGCAGCTGTCTACCCTGAGTGTACCACCACGTCCCTAAGCACGCACATCCCATCGCACCCCCGATCCCGATATGTATCAAAATGGATTTGTGGATCAGCAACCGAACGCCAGCGCCCGACCCAGTATGGGCAACAATTGTTCGAACGTTCAAGATCGTGGCGCTCTCACGGATGGCAGCCCATGAAACACAGCATGCCATCGAGAACTTCCAGTGAGGGAGAACGCTTTGCCAATGGAGACTGGAACGGGCTTGATGCGCTGTGAAGTAACCGGTTATGAAGTGTGTTGCGTATGCGATCCTGGCCCCCAGGTTCAGGATATTGGCAAAAACGAGCGAAGCGTCACCGAATCCGAGGCTGTATAATTCCACAGCAGACGCGATGTAAATGAATGAAAAGATGGCCATCCACCTGGGACAAGCATCAGCTAAACACATGCAGGCTGATAGGGCGCACCAGCTCTGTCTGTTCAGATCTTTGGGTGTTGATACACTTGAGATGAAGGCCTCCAATCCTCCGTTCAGAGCAAGTACAGGAATGTACCATATCCAGGCCCCAAGAACTCGAGGGGCGCTCGTCGAGAGATACTGTCGCGGCAAGAGAACAGGCAGAAGCACAGGCATATATGCAGGTCCAAAGATAAGGAGGATGAAAGAAAAGGCCATTTGAAGAGATAACAGGTTCAGAAGCGAATCCGCTGCCTCCCGGAGAGCCTCTTGACTCGGTGGAGGAGCCAACATCCGAGAAAACGTTATCCTAGATGTCTCCTCGATGGGTTGGAATACCATACGAGCTATCAAAGACCCTGTGAGAGAGCGACCATCAGCATCGTCGGATTGCGAATGTTACAAGCCTCACCATAGTTGACGGCCACGGCATAGCCTCCTTGATCCCGGAGAGGACTGAAGTAGCCAAGTACGAGCTTGTCTCCCTCTGTGAGGAAGTGCTTGATGACAGACTGGGACGTCATCGTCAAAGACACTCGGAATATTTCGTTATCGGCCGGAGGAGAGTTTCCGCTGCATTCCCGATTAAGTTAAAGATCCCTAACGTAACAGTAATGCTTACTTCTTCGGTTGAGGAAACAGCGCAGCGATGCCAAAGTGTCCGACGTATACAACGAGCAGAGTGAGGGCGTAGGCAAGCTGACCGAGAGCAAAAGCTGCCAGCGCCAGCTTCCCATCCAAGACAAACCTCGAGTCACAGAACAAGACGAGGAATGTGACCAGGGTCTTGAACATGACTCCGGCGCCCTCAGCTCGGACACGTATGTGTGTCTTCATCTCCGCCATGGCACTAGAGCGCCTATGAGATGGACAACAAGGACGCCGGAGACATGACGCAATCACCGATTATGCATCGGTTCACACCAAAGTTCCAGCACCGCTGCAAACGCGTACAGCCCCAGCGCTCCATAGAACCCCGACTGAGCTTTCGTCTCCGCCGATGCGATATACGAGTATCCAGCGCTGGTTATACAAGACAGAGGAAGTCCTACAGCGATAGGGAAGAAGGAGAGATTCCCCGGATTTTGGTCGTTCTTGACACGTAGCAGAGCATTCCGGACGCCTTCGCGACTGAGAAAGAGAATCGTGCTTGAAATCAAGTCGAATTGGTTGGCTGCCGTTCCAAACGCACTGGGGGAAGCCAGGCGAACGAGAGCTTGATTCAGAAGAAAAGTTGCTCCGCGGGAAAACACTTGAAGACGAATGAGCGAAGTGAGCTGCTTCGACATTAGTTGCGTGCAGAAAGCACTGTGCGTAATGATTGGGATCAGTACTGATCTCGATGATGTGATCCAACACGTTACATGAAGATCCTCAAGGTTTAGATGCTCGGAGCGACGCAACTATTGATTGGGAGGTGAGAGTGGACTGGCGTGCGAAGTCTCATCAAGTCGTCGGTCGCGTAGCCACAATAAATGTCTAAAAATGGGGCCATTGCGGGTCCTCGAGACGGTTAACGTTGGCGTACTCTCTCACTTTCGAATCGACGCTCAGCGATGTGACTACAGTCTGCGAGATAAGAGGAACAGGATTGACACATACAAACGGTACTATCCTTAGGAAGGGATGTTAAAGCACACAAAACACGGGAGAGCATATCAAGATCCAGCTTTGACACTGTTGAGCCTGACTACCAAAGGTAATAGGGACACGTTCTCCGAAGATGCATAGAACTGCACACAGTTGAGGTAAACCTGACTCGAGTTAAGAGTAGGGTTGGGGGATGAAATGCACGTGACTGACCTTGAACCAGTGATTGAAGTTGGTTTCAAATTTGCCCAAAAAGTCCCAGCGTTTGGCCATGGCTTGATCCCCTTCGCTGGTCTCAGAGGCAGTTATTGCTTGGCCAGCAGATTTGGTGAAGGACGAGGTGTACAAAGCAAAAGTAGAGCATGTCACAATCAGTCGAGAGTATGCCTAATGGATGTTAGTCGCTCAGTTATACATTCCATCAACACACGCACCCTCAATAATTTGGAACTTGTCAACATGCATTCCTTCAGGCAAGTGTCCAGGAAATCGACATGATCCCTGAGCAGCTGGTCCACCGTCGTCACCCGGGCTAGTTTACCCTCCAGGACGCGCCAGTTCGGTTCCAGAACCTCAAACGTCGAGAAAGCGAGAATCTGCTGCACAAAGGAAAGCATCCGGGCTCGCAACAAAAAGACGCGCAGCCGCCATCGCTCCAGTTCAGGATGATGGGGCACAGGCACCCTCCAAGGGTGGGTCTTGTGCTCTGTCCACATCGCAGTCAACGACTGCTCAACATGCTTTAGATGCAGCAGAAATCGGAACAAGAGCTGATATCGCAGTATAGTCTTTCGTGAAATGACCAGAGACAGCGGAAACTTGACGGTGTAATCCAGCGCTAGGGCGTCGATCGCAAGCATTGGCTTTTTGTCGTCTTTTTCTTTCTTTTGTTCCTCGTGATGGGTTTCCGGCTCACCATCCTCACCACCAATCACACCGCTGACGTTGACGACATTAAGAAGCCACTCGTACAATCCGCTGGGAGCCATTGTCACTTTGACGTCTTCTCGGAAAAGCTGGTCTTCCCCATGCGAGTCGGTGTTCAGAGCCAAGTCAAGAAGACTCTGCAACTTGACTATCGACGCCGATTTGGCTGTCTTGCGAAGCTCCGTATGAGAAAGATCAAGCAGATGCGTCAAAAACGAAGATTGCGACAGAAAGAAGTATCGCTTCAGGGATGAAAGTCGAGGAATGAGCTGCTGGTCGCGTAGCAACAGCTGCAGCAGTGTCTGGTTGGCGTGCGTATATGCGTCTTCGATGAATGCGTAGAATCTGGTCGATGTTTGGACCGATCTACAACTTCGTCAAGTGGTGTACTCACTTCTCATCATCTAAGCTGGCGTCCGAGGCATAGTCATCCGCCCTTCGGATTTCCATCCCGCATTCTCGAATGACGTTTAGGTACTTTCCCGCAAGGAGAATCTTATGTTTCCACCCTTCGAGCAAGGGAGGAACACATGCTCCACCTGGCAATCGTCCGTTGACTGTCCTGGGTAGCGGAACACCAGCTTGTCGCCTCTTAGATAAGCCAGCGAGGGTCGAGCCGTCACGTAGCTAAAACAAAAAATTGTTAGGGAGATACATCAGTATCCAGACGCACGCACTGTATACCGCCTTTCCCAATATTCATCAGTATAGTCCATCTCCAATATCCCTCGGTTGATGAATTTGCTCTCCTTCACGAGTAGCTCCTCGTATGGATCTACTAGCCGGCCTGTCGTTATCCAAGTCCGCAGCATAGAGACGTATGGAACACCCGCTGCGCTTAGGAGTGTGCTGTGTAGCGCGTGTGCCGTTGGGTCACCGGACATATTCTGCATTCGCTCGTAGATGATGGCCAGAACTTCACCACCCTTGACTGGAATACCGCTGCCGCCAGTAACATCCAATCCGTTCTTATCCATCTCTGAAAGCACGGCTCTGAGCCCCGCTCCGCCGAGTCCCAACGCTTCGTTTCGTGCTTCCTCCTCGGGATCAATCGAGCTCGTTGACGACGAATCCAGGTCACCAGAAGGATCATCGGCCGTCCCCAACTCTAGAACGAGTTGATAGATGAGCGAAAGGGTGTGGATCGTGGGATGGATGTAAAACCACAGCTTCTGCAGGGAGAATTGGGCAGAGGTGGTGAAAGCATGCTCTAGCTGTGATAGTAGAGTTTGGTAGTCCTTCAGCATATCTCGAATCGCAGCGCATAGCGCATGATTGACCAGCCCAAAATCGAGATGACTGCGCTGCTCGACGAAGGCGAGGATCGCAGTGTAATAGGTGCCTAGAGGTAGAATACGCTCGACCAAGTCACGAAGAGAGGTATCTTGAGACGTTGTCAGTTTGAATGCGTTGGAAAGAAGGGTGCCGGACCGGACCTAAGGAGGGCGAAACAACGAAGCGAATGCCCTGAAGAGGGTCGTCATCCTCGGCAGAATAATCTTCGTGAAACGTGATGTATGTCCCTTCGATACCCTTGTACGACAGAAATGTGAATGAGTGAAAGAGAGAAGAGTAAGCGCACCATAAGGATATATAACATGTCCTCAAGGATCAGCGCCTCTTGTATGTCGACCGAGACGTTTTGCAGTGGCTCTTGCTTCGCCTTGCCCTTGATTTTCGGCATAGCGGAGGAGGAGCTGACTCGTGAGTTGAGAGGTGCGCGAACGAACGAGGTTTCTGCGATGAAGGACGGCTCATCGCGGCCTGTAGATAATGTTTACATGTGAACCCAGTCTCAGAGGTGTAAAAACGCACCTCTCGCGCGACTTTCACGCGACGAGTGCCCATTACGTGCTAAATTCTCATCGATTTCATCCTGTGGATGTCGACTCCTCCGAACTGACGCGATAGTGCCAGTAATCTACGCCAAAGTTGATGAATTGACCCAGCACGATCAACGTTTGACTAGCCTTAGTGTATTCCTTCGCTGACAGGCTGATGTTTTTCTTCCGTGCGCCGTTCCGAGTTCCAGGCGTGAAGGGCTGCATCGCGCAAGCGGCCGGTCGTCGACGCGTAAAGAGAGAGCTACAAATTTGATCACATGAGCAATCATCTCGATATCATTCCCCCCATTCCCGAACAATCTCACCAGCGCAACCAACAGCTTCCACCAGCGGTTGCCCTCCTCATAATTGACTCTCCATCATCCTACTTGCGAAGCTCTTATACTTGGATTGTCATCCAGCCATCGACATTTACCATGGACAGCCGTCCCGCCATGCGCCGCAAATCCTCGGCCCAGAATCTCCTCTCGTCGTTCAAGACGCCCATCAATGTGCCCTCTACGCCCGTCATGTCTACCCCCCTTCCGAACAAGGAGTTTGACACCATGTCGCTGTATTCTGAAACGACGACGGTAAATAATCAACCAGGGACTGCAGGAGCACAAGGGACGTCGGTCGAGTACTTGCGGGATCTGGTGCAGAAACGAATCATCACTCTCACGTACATTCGCAACATACACGAAGGGTGCGTCGTGTGCACTTGTTCTCAATGCCCACGCCTGATCATGTCCGGGCGATAGTCGCAGCCATTGGTTCCACACCATCATGATATCGCGGGCGGAACTGGACAAGGAGTTCAACAACACAGACATGAAGAAACGGTTCGTATCGTCTATCCTACGGTCGCTTCGACGCTAAGCTCGATCAGAACTTCCCGATTTACTGTCCTTGGCATGGCACTATCCAGTCTTCTCGATATACAGCAGCCGCAAGATCTACTGAAACAGCTCATCAGCACGCTTCAAGAATACGAGCAGGCAAAGGAAGACGGGGATAAAGTCAAGATCGTGAGTGTGATCACTTTCCTGAAACACCTCTCTGAAACAGCCATGGTTCTCAGCAAGCCACGACCAAGCGATTGTTCAGGAACAGGCTAGGGAAACGACCAGGTGTGATCGGAGACCTTGCATACGGAGATGTGTCCGGACTCTATGCCCCCCACGTAGTACGTGAACAGGAGGGGACACTGGTGCATTCATTAAGCAGTTTCAGCCTTTCGCGCTCGACTACCATCAGACATTGCTCTCGCTACTCGACGTGCTATCGGAGGTCTACAATAAGATCTCCAAAATCTTGGGGCCGTCACCGTTCCCTCATAACGCGCAGAACATGATGGGCCCATTGGGATTGCTCGCACCACATCCAGGCGTTTCCTACCTCTTCTCCCCACCAGAGAGCACCCCCGGCTCGGGACCCTACGCGACACCACATCAAACGCATTTTTCGTCCAACACACATCTCTCTTCGTCCTCGCATCTCCCAATGGGGAACGAGGCGGAGATGGGCATTGGCAGTCTGTGGAGCATCGCGAATGTCAATACCAGCAGCCACTTGTTTTCGGTCCCGATGGCTGTTACATGGTCGCCGGCATTGGGTGAAATGGTCCTCAAGATCGATGGCAAATTCAAGGTGTGTATGCCAGAATGCCCTATCAGGTGTTCTCAAAAGCTATGTCAGAAAATCACCACGGTCCTTCTCAAAGAGCTCGATCAGTTTGCTCGTAATGGGATTAGGGCCGAGCTCTCATCATTAGATCCTCTGCTCAGGAACATCAATATCCAGGAGGAAGGCGGGAAGACGATCTATGACATCGAGGGCATGTAACATCAACCCCCGCTATCCTAGATGAGAAGCCATTGAGAACGGGGATCAGTTGTGAGTGAATTCTTTCCTCATCCGCACAGAGATCACAGGTTGAGCATCAGGACAGGCTTTCTTCCAGCTTTCCGCCACACGTCGAGTGCCGTCGACTCATACGGGACCGTTGACGCGCCACTTGTGCTATCACGAACGCGCATAGGGCAACAAAGGAGGAAACTGGATTCAAGCGAAACTAGAGCTATAGATCTGTACTAGGCAGAAGCCCGCGCGGGACATGGAGATCAAGTCGCCATCTATTTGTTGCACTTGCAGTCATTGGTTTTGCAGCCGCAACTTCGTTCGTCAATCGCTGAGAGCAGTGCGAAGCCAGTCCACTCACGTCGCGGTGCAGTTGGAACAGGTGTTGGATCCGCAGGCCATGGGTGTCGGTAATGCAGGTAGATTGGGTCTGTAAAAATGAGATATTGTCTATGATTCTGCTGTGTTTTGCGCACGGTTTGGAGGATGTCGTTCGAGGGGTCCTTGTTCCTAGTCCTCGAAGTGCCATGTCTTTATAGCACACCAGTGGCCGACAACAACGGTCGCAGATAGAGATACCCACATGCAAACGCCAGCTTAGCTCTCACCTGTGAAAGACTTACGGTCAGCTGAGAGTTCAATCTCCAAGATTCTCATTCAAACCCATTTCATACGACAAGTGATCATCAAAGTAGTCTCACACTAGGAATTACAGGGACGAGAGGTGTACGTGTTTAGTTAGATTAATCGAGGGACACGGTGCCGTCTATGAAGTACAGTACCCCATTCGAAGCCTTCAGTAATCCACAGTCAGTCGACGCAAGCTGTCCGCAAACAGCCAGCTACGCACCTCATGCTTTGAGATGATGTGAACATGCCCGTCAAGGACGGCTCGACTCCACTCATTGGGTTCCCCACCTTCGGCGAGCTCAAACATGACAGATCGCCCATCCAGCATGGTGGGATATGTTCGGCCGTCAAAGGATATCGGAGATTCCTAGTAGGTGAATTAGGTCAACACTCGGCCAACAGCGAGATCAGGGGAGGTTACTGGAATGATGTGCGCCGAAATCCAGCGCTCCACATTCTCCTTTGAACGCGAGTCGTATTCTTGTTCTGTAAGGATGACACCATCCTGGATGGGAACCGGACCTTGATGACTGCGGGAAGGTTACAGCTCCTGCGCAGGCGGAACGGGCGACCTCGGACGCACGGCTTGCGTGAGAGAGACATCACAGCCTTGTTCGTCGGGACGAGCAGGGTGACAGGCTCGTGGGTCAGAGATGAGAACACGGTGCTCGTTTCGAGCTCGCGCGCGTAGGAATAGAAGATGGATGCGGACGACTGGATGGTGAGCAGGTCCGCCAATGATGGGCGTTGGGATTGCTGGGGAACATAGACAGAGTCATGATCCATGACCACTTGCTCGCTCTGAGAGGCTAGAGCACGCAGGATGGGTAGCACCAAAAGACTGGATAGCTGGAGACGCATGATGATGATTAGGTCAAGAGAACTGTGTTGACGTCAGTTTTGCTTTGGGTAGGTCCGGCCCGGTCCAGCTCTGTTTCGTTTCGACCAACTCTCCTGGAACTACGTTCATCATTAAGCTTGTTTGTGGAACCTCTCGACCCAATAAGACCTGTCTATTCCAAGTGCCAAGTGGATTTGCTATTGAACCAAAGTTCATATCCTTTTGTCACACGAGTACTGGCAGGTGCTAGCTCTCCTTGCGTGCTTCTCTGAAATGCATAGGTGGACCGAGCGGGAGATGCGGCTCCACCAAAGCGTATGGGTCATCAGACGAAAAATCGGTTCGGAAATGCGCCAAGTGCTCTGGACCTTTCCCGCGGACGAGATGGTGTGAGATGCAAGCTCTAGCGGTACGTTTCCATTGCTTTACTTGTCGAAACCGGCTTTTATAGAATCGTACAGAAGATTAAGAGATACCCTGCATGCGTAGCTCACCTCAAGGGCTGTGCGATCTACGACACCGATGCGGATGCGAAAGCTGCTCATTTTCCAGGTCTCATCATATTCAAGAATTTCCTCCATCTTGAGCAGCTCCACGACCCGTTTTGCCTGCATCGCAATTGGATCTGGACTGACGTGTTTGCCAACCCATCGACGATGCGGGCGACACAATGCATCCTCACGCCACCTCTGGCATCGTACGTTCTTTCTCGTTGTTCACATTTTCGCAAGAGCACGGGGCGGCAAAATGACTCCGAAATATGAAACAGAGCCAGCATCCCTGCTTTGTCTGCAGTGGATTGCGTGAAAGACAGAACACGAGCGAGGGTGCGGTGTTTGCATGAAATAGTAACACATGTGAGCCTAATCTGTATCACATTCCATGTAGTCTATGCATTAAATCGTGTGCGCTAGAGCGTAGCTGTATTGCGCGCCTTCGACGGATTCAAAGCGGAAGGGAAAATCACTTGTGCTCGATATGAACCTTGGCTGCGATTAGACGCTGGGCGTTGCCGGACCACTGATGGCTCCACGGTAACTCCCGGTCCCCTTCCTCCCGCTACTTACCTCCATGCGTACAATGGACGAATATCCGCGTAGTCGGGCTGCTCGTCTCTCCCGTCCATCACTCCATAATAGAACGTAGTGTCTAGCACTGTCAAGACGGCAGGCAAAGTCGACTGGAAGCGAACTCACCTCGGCCGTCGGTTTCCCGCTGAGTGAATCCAGTACCCAGGTATCCGAATCTGTTCCCGGCATAGCCATATTCGTAGTCCCAGTCCTCCCACCGGATGTTGTACAGCAGCTCCATGAAAAGTACACGGTTCCCGGGGAAGAGCATCGGAGCAGCTGGGAAGAGCAGTTGAGCAGTCGTGTGCACGATGCCGACGAGGCGACCCACCATCCTTGTGCAGTCTGAACCACGAGGAGCAGTTACCGACCCACGCCGTCCGCTTGACATACAGCTCCCGGTGCTCGTTGAAATCGTCGGCCGCTTTGTCCTTGATCTTGATCGCAGTGATGTTCTCCATCTGGAGTTTCTGGATGATCTTGAGGAACATGGTCGTGTCTGCAATTCTGCACTCAGTTCATCGGAACTTCGATTGAGCGTAGCGCCCCTCTCACAGGCATGGATCACTGGGGCACCGGAGCCGTGGGCGATGGGGCCGTGGGGGCCGTAGTACATGAAATACTGTGCACGGGGTCAGAACCAGTGCGTCCCAATGTTGCCGCGTAAATCACAACGCACATTTGGAAAGTTTTTGACTGCAACGGACAGATACTGCATTTCAAGATTAATCCCGGCGGTCCCAGCCTGAACAGAACGACTGACACTGTCGACGGGATACTCCTTCCACAGATCCTGGATGTTCACGCCATGTGCGACGATCGGGAAGCGGGGCTTGTAACTTGTATCGAAGCCACTTTGGTAACGGATTAGCAGCGGTGTTACGACCCGGTAAGTAGATAGATCACTGACGTCGCACAGATAATCACATCACCTCAACTTCGTTCCCTTGTGCGTCGATGAAGCCCTTCTCGGTGATGCGCTGGAACATTTCCGTGTAGACCTGCACATTCGGCTCGAGCAAAGCCTCGAGATATCCGTTCCCTGGTGTTGGCCGACGACATCCTACCGCGAAATCCTTGGGCACAATAGCGTCGATCAGCCGCTCGTCTTGCTTGAGTCGTTCTCGCATATCCCGGTTGCCGAACTGTTGCTCTATCAGTCAAGTAACACTCGAATACCCCATTCTTTTGAAAGACCTCCAAAGATGCTAGTTGTTCTGGCGTGCCCTGGACGATGAACTTGAATCGTTCGTTGAGCTCAGACTGCAGCGCAAGTCAGCAAGTCATTCAAGCCCGACGACATGCGGACTTCTATCATCTTCCGGTATTTCAGGGCATGCTCTGGATCGTTCCGGAACCTCTCTTTCTGCTCTTCAGAGTCTGAAACGGTGGGTCAATTCACGACATCATCTCATCTACACGTTCATGACCGACATTTGAAGTTGACGCCGCCGGGTCCGGCGAACTGCGGGGCAAATGCCCCCGTGATCCAAGTGGGCGAGCGGATCCAATGGTACAGCTGCTTCACCTCTGGCTGGATCGCCGCCAGCACCTGGATCCCTGAGGACCCCGATCCAATCACCGCCACGCGCTTGTCCTTGAGCGAGAGGTTCTCGGGCCAGCGCGCAGTGTGGCACAAGGTGTCTTTGAAGGAGTGCAGTCCTTCGATCGAGGGCCACTTCCAGACGTTGAGAACACCTTGCGGGGCCTTCAGTCCAGTCATCATCACCCGGGTGTCTGGTGGAAAACCCACCGCCCCCGTTTAGGAACACATCGCACTCGTCCTCGAACTCATGCTGATCTGGCCCCCGGATGCGCAGCTTCCACTTCTTCGCGCCGTCGTCCCATTCCGCGTGTGTCACCTCGTGTTGAAGGTGGATGTATTTCCAGAGCTCGAATCTGCGCCTCGTCGAGGTGCTATAACAAACGCCCACAGGATGCGAGCGCACCTATCGACGAGGCTCTTGTAATAGCGCTGGATCTCGTCCCCCGTCGAGTAGTACTCGGACCAGTCCGGGTTCGGACACCAGTGCATCTGGTAGTTCACCGACGGGATGTCGCAGCGGATCCCCGGGTCTGCGCGATACAGCTCCTCATTCAGCCATTCACTTGGCTTGTTTGTTTCCTGGCCGACACGCACAGCGGTTCCACAGCCAGGTGCCCCCCACGTCCGAGGCCATCTCGTAGATCGTCAGGTCGAGCTTCTCGCCCGTCTCTTGCACGTCGTGCGCCAAGCTGATACCGGAGATGCCGGCCCCTGCAGGTAAATCGCATCATTTTCACGTTTCATGGACAAGCAATTCTCCAAGCACCTATGGCGATGATCTTCATAGGCCGGAGCTAGATTCCGCGGGTCCACCGTAAGCGATCAAACTGCATCTCGCTTATCGATATCACATGCCGCTCCATAATCTCTGTCGGGAATCTTGTATCCCCGGTCATTCTCAGTCGGCCAGAGGGGTTTCTGCTCGGTGGACATAATGCAAGGAATGTGAGAGAGCAGAGGGAGAGAGAGAAAACGCCCTCGATCCACATGACTCCGGACCACACTGTTCATGATTGCCGGATCTGCATCGCTGACGTGCAGTCGGGAAAGTTCGCAGTAGAGATGGTTACAAGAATAGATGATACCTAGTCCAGACTGTAGGAAAAATACACCGACGTAACAATCAAGATGGACAAGGATCAACTTCTGAGAGATCAAGTCATTCGCAACTGGATGGAAGAGTCAGCACCACAGTTCTCAAGCACACGTAGGACTGGTCTGACCTTTGATAAAATAGTAGTCTCCGTAGACAATCCCTGTGAGCAGATTATGCGCCGGCCAATTGACGGTGCCATTCGACAGAAGAGATTGCCACGACGGTTTCCAGGCAAGGGCAGTAATGTTGTTCAGAATCTGCGGACAGGTGAGTTTAAAAGGGAATTCGCTTCGGAAAGAGAGCGAGATCGGCACGAACCGTCATCGCCAAGTTCCTCCACTTGTCTACGTTGTCGGGTGTTTCCACGGAGGCAAGAAGGATAAGTCCTGTTGCCACGACAGTCGCAGCAGACGAATCTGATGGTCTCGGAGCCGGGGTCAACGGAGCATTGAAGTCCCTGTACATATGTCCTTCAGCCCACTGTATATTCCCAGCGTGCGCACGTGAGCTCACCAAGGAACGATGCCATCAGCAGGCAGATTGGTGAGGTAGTAGTTGGCGAGCTTACGCGCGGTGTCGAGATAGGCAGGGTAGCCGGTGTGTTTGTACACTGCTTGGTCGGGAAACAACCTCACGCTCTCAAAGAAGCCACGCACTGTTCGCAAATCCGTAAACACCCCACGCCTGACCGCGACTCCAGGTACTGTTGTTCGAGAATCCCTGCGACGTAATCTTCGCCACCACGGCGCCCGTCGTGGCATTGTACTCAATCACGTGCCAGGTGCCGCCGTCAGGCCGGATGTGGTTCTTCATGGTCGTATTGGCGTGCGTCTCGGCGATGTGGCGGAGCGTCGCGTTTCCCGTGAGCTTATACGAGACCCAGAGCACCTCCAGATTCATCATGTTGTCGATGATCACTGCCGACACGTTCAGTGGAGTCGAAGGCGCGCATGAACGCGCACACACCTTGGAACAACGTAGGATCCGATGTGTCCCAGCTCCGCGTACAGCCGACAACTGGATTGAATCTCGCGGCTAGGTCGGCGGCAAACTTGTTCACGGCAGCTATGGCCGTCTGGTTCGTCGGGTTTCTGGCGAGCAGGTCAGATGCAGGGACGCGTGTTCGACGTCGGACACTGACATCGCCAACTCCTCGACGAAGGGGAAGCTGAGGAAGCCAACATCATGGCCCTAGAGCGGAGCGTCGGTCGGGGCCGCACAGCACAAGCCAGACACAAGACTCACGACGCCGTTGGACTGCTCCAGCGGAATGAGGCCGTTGCTCAGCGAGCGGCCCCAGGCCAGCCAGTCCGCCGCGCCCAGCCCGTTGGCAGCTGTCGCGCCGCAGAGCGTCTTGCGCGTGTTCAGCGCGTACATCGTCGCCGGGAAGAACGCGCTCGTCCATGTATTCGGCGAGAACAGCTGCCACACGCCGGTGTTGCTCGTGATGCCCGTGTACTGCGGGTACTGGATGGGCGACGGCAGCGACTGGGCGGTCTTCAGCACTTTCTGGGGCACGAGCGGGTCGAAGAATTGCGCGGGGTACGACTTGGCGACCGCGAAGGGGGCGAGGACCGCGAGCAGGAGCGCAGAAGCTACCATGGCGGGTGCGTGCTAACCTTGAGGTAGGTAAGTAGGTTTCCCTGCGGGGCGGTTTGATTTAAATACTAGCGTCCAGATCGCATCCGGTCCGGACGCACGCTCGTGGCCCGCCTCAGCACACGCCCAAACGACACCGCGATGTCCGTCACAGGATGCGTTACAATAAAGATGATCGCTCGAATGGGGGCAGACAGAATCGCCGCTTTGGCGAGTTTCGGTGATTGGTACGGCTGCTCAGCTCAGAAGCTGCGAGCTGTTTATTGTAGAGCCGCAGAAAGCGCGCGAGCATCGAGATCCACCCCGGGCGCAATCGACAGTCTCCATTTTCCGTCGTCCTCTGCCAATGAAACCATCCGTGGTCGAAGTGGAACGTGGAACAGCGAGCGATCCCTGATGATCTGTCAAAAGCGCGTCCACGTGATCACGTGGAAGATCGACCCACGTGGTAGTAACTGGTCGAGAGTGATGCGACCTGCGGCGCGGATTCTCAACCATCATGGTGATTTCTGTTCGAGAGTCCTGTGACGACCGAGCGTCTTCTATTTTATTGTATCCACAATTGGAACAGCTCCTTCTTTCTAGCGTTCACCCCGGAGATGGCTTGGCTGCGCGTACTGAGCGTTATTGGACTGCTGCTTTCGAGTGTCAGAGCGGGACCACCCGTGTCTGTGCTATCCAACACTGTTTTGGATAGCCAAGGAATCTTTTTTGTGTCTTATGACGGTTCGTGACTGCCCGTCCACCATATGCTGACAGGATACCTGATTTGACTTTGGGAGACAGGTGTGGTCAACGTCAACTCCTTCCAGGACTCTGCGGTATTGACCTACGGAAACTACCAATTCTCGGCATGGTACAGTCCAGCAACCACCTGTGTTGGGCAGCTCAGTGACCATATTTCCTGCCAGGTACACTGCCAGTGGCGCCGCCATGCTAGGACGGCGGTCTCTTCCGTCTGGGGCGTGGTCGGTGCTCAAGCTGCCCCACAACCTCTCGGTATCGGACTCGCACAACGTCATCTCCCTCGGGGTCTCCCCTGCTGACGGCAAGATTCACGTCGCGATGGACTGCCATAGCACACAGGCAAGCCACGAGTGATCAGTGCCTCGCCCGGAAAGCTCACCTCGCGCAGTTGTACTACACCAACTCGGAAGCCAACCTCGCCTCCAGCGGCAACAGCTGGATTGCGAGCCGCTTCTCCGCCATCACGTCTACCCTCGGAACCCTCAACGTTGGACCGTGAGCAGAATCCACCCGAGATGTCCCTCGCCCTTGTCTGATCAGGGTTATCCAGCCAGATCACCTATCCCCAGCAAGTCTCTTGACCCCCGGTTGTCTGACATGTCAATAAGCCCCAAATAGATTCGTGGTTACCCCGACGAACCTCCTCCAATTCGTCTACCGCACCGGCGTCTCAGGCAACGGGGCCACGCAGCTCGCCGAATACAGCGGCGGCGTGTGGAGCTCCGTCGGCTCCTGGGCGTCGGCGTCGGGGACGTACACGGCCCCCAGCGGCGCGACCAGCACACTGCGCAACCTGTACATCCACGGCTTCACGTACCACCAAAACCGCGTCCACGTGTCCGGCACCTGGCGCGAGCAGAACGGAGCCGTGTCCTGCAGCAGCGCAGGGCTGACCAATCATGACACCGTGTACTTCAACTCGGACAACCTCGGCACGCCGCTTTTCCGGGTTCTCGTGGCGCAGCTCATCTGATTTGACAATAGGCCGCACGTGGCACAACGCCGCCGGAACGACCATCGGCACGTCGGGGACTACTCTGATTAATGTCAACACTGCCGGCATCATCGTCGATAGTCTCAATGCGGACCATGCGAGTGTTTACTCCTGGATGCAAGAGAATGAGCACTGACACCTGGGTGCTGCAGGCATTGATGAATCAGGAATCTCAGACCGTCGACTCGACTGGTCTGCCTCACATCGTCATCTCGTATGTCCCTGGTGAATACTCCTTCATTCATCCGCTGCTCGTGTCGTCTGACTAGTCTCCGCAGGGCGATTCGGCCAATGCGTGCAGAACTATGAGACCGGGCGACCAGAATTCGCCCGGCCGTTCCACCTGTATCAGAATTCTAATGGCACCTGGACCAAGTTTGAGATCCCGTTCTTCATCCAGAGCGTGGGCCGCTCGCAAATCGTGATGGACGCCAGCGACAACGTGTACGTCGTGATGCCGTTCGTGCGGGTCGTCACAGCCACGAAGGCGTCGGGGTGGACTGACTGGACGGTGGCTTACAACGGGACAACCGCCGGGTTGAATGCGTTTGGCGAAGTCACGTTGGACAGGGCGAGGCTGCCCAGCGGGGTCCTCTCGGTGCTCTACCAGCAGTCCAGCACGGGCACTACCCCGTCCCCCGTCCATCTAATCGAGTTCAATATGAACAAGTAGTCGCGGTACCCATTCCGTATATCAATCTGTTTGTCGTTTGTTTGCGGTGGTAATCTACATAAGTACTGGTTCGCGATCGATCAGTGGGCGAAGTAACTCCGCACATGGACAGAATCACCACCGAGCTCGCAGCAGCCCTCGTCGCACAACTGCGCCAGTGCGTCATCCCGGTGCCTATGCATCTCCATGCCGCACGTTCACGCCCGGCAGAACGCCGCCCGACACGCGCCTCATCGTCGGCGTCGCCGGCAGCCCCGCGTCCGGCAAATCGTCGTTCTGCCACCGCCTCGTGAGCCTCGTCAACGACAGCGCCGTGCCTGGCGACCCTGCGCCTGCGGTCCTGGTAGGCCTCGACGGGTGGCACCTCTCGCGTGCGCAGCTCGACGCGCTGCCCGATCCCCGGCTTGCACACGAGCGCCGCGGCGCGCACTGGACGTTCGACGGGGCCGGGTACGTCGCATTCGTGCAGGCGCTGCGCGGACCTGCCGCCACTGTCGTCGTCAAGGCCCCGACCTTCTCGCACGCCCTGAAGGACCCGGCGCCAGACGCGCTCGCCGTCCATCCGCACCATCGGCTCGTCGTGATCGAGGGTCTCTACGCCTTCCTGGCGATCGAGCCGTGGAGGGTGGCCGCGGAGCTGTTGGATGAGCGGTGGTTTCTCAGGGTCGAAGAGGCGGAGGCGCTGCGGAGGCTCGTCAAGCGGCATGTGGAGACGGGGATCTGCCCCGATGAGGAGACAGCAAGGCAGCGGGCCGAAGGAAATGACATACCCAGTGAGTGTGAGCTTAGCCCCGGCGTTTCTGGCTCATGTTCTGCAGATGGTAAGTTTGTCGTCGAGAACATGTTAGAGCCGACCAGGTTCATCGAAAGCATTGACGATCCCGTCATGGCTCACGAGCTAGTGTAATGTAAAGTAGCTGGGCTTGACTACAAGGACGTAAGTTAGAAGAATTTCACGATGCCTGATAATCAGGCTCGCATTGGAGAGCAGAACTGTCATGGCAGCGCATCAGATGCGCCATCACTCTCACGGTTCAATCACCTTTGTCCGGATTCGGCATGCGTGTTTCCTTCACCCTTTGTGCCGTCATCTAAAGCTTTGTTCTTCCCTTTTATCACTCCGCTAAAAGCAGCCATTAATCTTGGGTGCTCTGCAATAAAAGGCAGCCATCGAGATTGACGACTGCCTGCTATAAGTTGAAAGCGTAGCCAGTGGACAATGCATTCTATTCCTCTGTCCCGCAACCACCATGTCGATCATGGCCACTCAACAGACCCACTCTCCTGCTAGTCACCAGGAGTCCAAGAGCGATCTGCAGGCGGATCATATTTGTGTGCCACCTGTTGATCAGGTGCAGGAGCACGAGCATGAGCAAGAGCACGAGAAGGAGAACGCGAGTGTGAATGAAGACAACGACGACGACGAGACCGCCACGATCAAACCCAAGCCCGAGGAAGTCTACGACGACGACAACCATCCCGCAACCCAGCCGTATGATGTATGCGAGAGACCGAGCGGACGGGCATTGATTGGCCAGGACTCGAGCTTCCAGGAGTCCATGGAGGAGGTGCTGCCGCTTGTCCCGAGAGCACAGTGGAGCGAGTCACGCCGGAGACTGTTCATTCGCACCGGTGCGCCCGAGTCCCGCTCCGTTCGTCCGACTAGGAGGCCCTGACTACGACTGCGCAGACTCGGATCCCGTGGCGGGTCGTGTCTACACCGATTTCGAAGCCTGTTTCCGCCACATCACTGCGACCCGCCAGGACCAGCACTTCCTCCTCCCTCCCGACGACCCCGACGAAGCATTTCCAGAGTGGATTGTCAAGGTTCCCCTCAGCATTCCTGTCGAATTCTATGATCTGCTGACGAGTAACCCACAGTCCAGCGACCCGATCGTCCAATTTCTGCGCAACGACCATTTCGGGAACGGCGCGAGGCTGGCGGACCCGGAGTACCTCGGGACTGGATCCCGATGCGCTCTGTACCGCGTCCGGCATTCGGTTACTGGCGCTGTCTGGCTGATCAAAAGGACGATCTACGAGGTTCGTTGCGTTTTCGGACACTTACTCTACGGGGCTGACGAGCGCGGCTGTTGCAGAAATACGTCGACAAAAACACCTTTTTCAACAACTACGAAGAGGTTCGCGCCAGACTTTGAGACCCACAGCCGATTTCTGATGGGGTTTAGAACGACGTGCTGAAGGCGATCCAAACTGCGGTGCGACAAGGTGAATCGGAAACCGATTTTCCTGCTTTGAGGAATGGGGTATGCCAGTTTGTCGGAAGCAGGCCGTGTGAGAATACAGTCGGTGCGGAATCTGCCATAAATGCAATTGACCCAGATTTTTACGCCTCGGCAGATCTCCTGTTCGAGTACATGCCCGGGGCAGATCTCCGTAACAGGATTCTCCACAAGAACCAAAAATTCGGTGTGCACTCCGAGTCGAATCCGACCTGGACGCTGATATGTCTTCCAGATCAACACAAGTGCAAGTCCGTGGCGGTCGATATTTGCACGGCTATGGCAGCGCTGCACCGCCGGGGCGTCGTGCACCGCAACATCGCCCTCGAGGTGAGTCGCTCCATATTTCTCACCAGCCGAGTTTTTTGGCTGACACCCGAACAGAATTTGATCTACTCGGACACGGGTACGAGGATCGTCGGGTTCGGCTCCGCCACCGCGAATTTAGAGAAAAGCGGAGCCAGTTATTCCGACAGCGTCGACTGCCACAGCGTCGGCGTCTGCCTGATTATGTTGTGCGTGCTGCACCATCTTTGCAAAGCGCTCAAAATCCAAGATTTATTTTCTCAGGCTGGCAAGCAATGTCCCTGCACTCAGAGACGTCGTCGGAGACTCGCTGGCCGCAGAGGGCTCCGCACTCGGGCGCCACCAAATTATCTGGGACCAAGTAAAGGCCGCGGCAGCTGTTGATGACTCTGGTGCGTCTCTTCGCCCAGCGTTCACTGAAAACAACCGTTCAACGTATCCCCAGGCATCGAATTCATCGATGGCCTTATCGCAGAAAATCCTTCCGAGCGACTGACCTTCGAAGACGCGCTCCAAGCGAAGTGGATCCGCCACCTCTCGCCGAGCTGGACTCCGCCGAAATCCGCGCCCAAGCAGTCTCAGTCTCTGATCCTGGCCACGGATAAACCCAGCCGTGCGATCAGCCTGAAGAGGATGCTATCCGACGCCGACATCAATCTCCCCGACAACTTGAAGCGGGTCAACTTGCACGTCGACGACGATTAGTACATGTCGGCTCGTGAATTACAACGATGACGCTTCTATAGTGCGTTCGATACACATGTGAATACACTTCCCACCGCAGCAGCCTTGTAGCTGTCAATGATGGATTGGACCGATACCTGACACGTGACGTCAGTTTGAATTCGATGGGTGCAACTGCAAGGGCTGTCGCACATAGGTCCCCGCAACCAAAATAAAGAGCCCAAAAACGATCAAAAAGTAGTTGACCAAGGTCTCGAAGCTCCGCAATGGCCCGGCCCATTTTGTGTTTCCGGGATGCAGCAAGAGGTAGGCCATGCCCCAGTAGATGAATCCGAACCAGCCATCTGCAGTCACGTGAGTAAATGTCCCTATCGTTCATTCAAGTGATTCGATCTGACCGAACAGAGAGCTCATCAGACTCAGCATATCAGAGAAGAACGGAATGAGCTCTGCAATCAAGAATGCAAAGACCCATGTCACGGCGATGATGGAGGCCCATGTAGCCCAGCCGATCAGCGTGTTCGAGTGCTTGTGTTTGGAGTTCTGGAAGATACGGAAGAACAGAAAGCGTGCGGTTACAGACTGTGCCCGTGTTAGCTAAGCGTCGCAGAGAAAAAGAGAGAAACGACTGAACTGAGTACAACGAGCCCAGATAGATGATGGTGGGGATTGCGAATGAGAACGCAATCTTTTTGTAGGTCGGCTGAAGAGCGCCGAAGGCCGGCGCTGTCATATACTGGTTCCCAACATCTGGAAAGAGCGTAAGATTCCGTGTCTCTCAGAAAGAAGCAGCTCACAATGATACATAATGCTCCCGCTGCCGCAAAGTCAGATACACATCACCAACTTTTCAAGATGATCGAGCCTCACCAGAGAGAGAATACAACAATCTCGCAAATTGTCACGGCCCATAGAGCTGCAAACATCTCATTGAGTACGGTGTTGGACTGTCGACAAAATGAGGTCACCTTTGGGGAAATCCTTGGGCTCTTTCATTTCGGCAATAAACTGCACCGCGATCAGATTCAACAACACAGATCAGCGAAACACACACCGAAGGTATCGTAATCTGGCCGATCAACGTGTAGCTGATGTTCAGAAACGCAGAAATGCCATTCACGAAGGTCGTCCCCGCTACAGGCCACGCAGTGACAATCCCCGGTTCTCCGGCGATATACCCGGCCGGCTCGCTCTGGATCCCAGCGAAAACGATCGCGAGGAGAACAGCAATGGCCATTGTGACAGCGCTGAACGTCCCCAGCCCACTCAGTTGGTTCAGCGTCCGCGGAAGACTAACGACGAAGCAGAGTATGGCGGTCACACCGCTTTTGAATCGCATTAGATGATTGGAGGTTAGTAGACTTCGGAGAGTCGCACCTGAAACCGATGGTGCACCATCCAGAATTCGAAAGCGTGTTGAGGAGCCTTGCACCAACCAAGCAGTGTAGTCCTTAAAAGAGATATCGAACCACGGCCTGCAATGGGGCAACGATGCAGACGGACCTTGGATGAATGTGTTGTTCAAGATGAACATGACCGCGGTGAAGTGATAACCCCATTGAGATCCACCACAGAGAATCCGGCCGATGTCGCATACATCGCGCACCTCAGGATGCTTCAAGCAGAATCGCCATATGACAAGCGCTGGGATGCCGCGTTAGCGTCCGCACACGGCATCCATTCCAAGACGACGCACAGGTGTACTGCACCGTCGCCGCCACGGCAATCGTGAGCAGGATCCCGGGCACGAGCCCCAGCACGGAATACGACCAGGGGAACGACAGGATCGCCAAGCAGATGTACTCCGAGAAGAGCAGTCCGGCCGTCTGCGCATCGAATCCGAATCAGACGAAGTCGAAGGGACGGGAGGGGAGGGGTGGAAGCATGACGAAACGCCGCGCACCTTCTGCCAAGAACACGTCCGGTACTGCACCTCGTTCCCCTGCTCCTTCGCGATCTGGTCCGTGACGCTATAGAGCGTGTCATCGAAGGACGACGACTCCACATCCGAGCCGCTGCCGCCGCCAGCCTCCGTCTTGAGTGCGCTCTTCTCGCCAGACATGAGTTGCGTTATTTGTATGTTAGCGGCGGGAGGGGAGGGAGTGCTCGCAGGCCGTCAATGCGCTGCCAGTGGCGGGCAGGTTTTATACATATACGAATCACCGCGAATGATGGAATAGGAAAGAAGCATGATGCGAGCGATCGTGCGGTGGGCCCTGTGGAGCCCCGTCGACTTCAGGCAGAACGAACTGACGCGCCGACTGGACTAGACACGCTAGTAAACGTAAGTTATCAGACGACCGCACACACAGACAACAAGACACCCACATAGCGCCTCCGTCTTGCGCAATAGAGCACGGAACGCGCACACACGAGCCGCGGTCGACACGGGTGTGAATCAGCATCATGGCAGGCAGGCGCGCGATTGCGCGATACGCGTCATATTCGATGCGATTGGTGCCATCTGTGGCGGTGCTCGGGGTGGGTCTCGCACTACTTTCGTACTTACATAATGGCTGCTGCCAATCGTCCCCCCCGGCCCAGAAGAAAATTTTCATGCGGGAAAACAGTTTCGCCAGTCTCACACATACTGTATGCCCCGTTCAGGTCCATCTTAGGGGACAGCAGTATTTCCGTGCGCGATAAGATTAGATGGTTGTATGTATGATAAACCGTGGGAACATGTTGATTACAACGAGTACTCAAGTACTCTTTGAGATTAGAATAAAGCCTGTGATCGCAGCAATGAGACCGTCTATGTGACAGTGCAGGTCGGGAACAGCTTCGCGGCATTCCCGGTGAGCTGGACGTTCTGGCAGGAGTAGCCCGAGCCGGACTTGGGACTGCACAGACAAATAAGAATCAGCAACCGGCGAAGCGAGCAAAGCATGGAGAACGCACGTGAGAGAGAAGTCGTTGACGTTAATATCGGTGCAGCGGTTTCCTGGCGAGCAGGAGAGTTTGGCCGTGACCGAGCGTGTGCCAGTTCCAGTGATGCTGCGAGCTGCGTCAGCGAAATCTGCTCAGGTATCGAGAGCACAGGCGGTATTACTTCTTGAAGAAAATGTCCTGGATGTACACGTTGGACGGGTATTTCGCGCACTATTATCGGAGATGGTTAGCAGTGAGCCGCAGAGTAGCGAGGAGCGTCTCACGTCGGCAGCTGTAGTCATGTAGCACTGCATTTTTCTTGTCAGAACATGCAGGTGAGAGTGCGTCGAGAGGACAGACCTGATCGATGACGACGGGATTATCAACCTGCGACTCCTTGAAGCCCATGAAGGTGATGTTCTTGACCAATCCAAGGCCTCTGTTCTGTCCGGCAAATGCTTTGATCCGCGCGCCGTTCTGCGAGTTGCTCATCACGACGTTCCTGCCAGCGCGTCAGCGTCTCAGAAGGAACGAGAGAAAAATCGTACGTGGCAACCACATTTTGAACATAGTCGTAAACTCCGTTAACTTCGCCTAAGGATCTGAATCGTGACGAGTAAGACCAAGATTTCAGGAGACCAAAAGGCACAAGGTTGATTCACCCCACTGAAATTCCGCTGGAGTCGGGTTAGCGACCGCCACAAATGCAAGAAAAAGCGGGACTCACTGGCTTCCATCGCAGGTCAAGTTGTCGACGATGACGTTGGTGACATCTGGCACACAAGACCATTTAATGACTTCGACGACAACGAGAGAAAGGAAGCCTCACTCGGCTGTTCTCGTGTTCAGTCAACGGATAAAAAAAAACCGAAACGGACGCAACATACCTTGAACGAAACACAGTCGTCGCCATTCTTTATGTGGCAGTTCTTGATCGTCACTTGCACATGGTGAGCCGAGCACGCAGCCGAGTCAGCTGAGAATCCAGCACGCACCATCCGACGACCGGTAGATGTCCCACCCGTCTGTGTTCTTCGCGAGCGCGCTGCTGGTGCTGGCCGCAGTGAGGGTGAGGCCGTCGTAGGTGACATTCTGGCCGTTGACGAGGAAGTTGAACCACTCGGGCGAGTTGATCATGGAGATGTTCTGCACGAGCACGTTTTTCGCGTCGATGATCGTCAGCGAGATGGGCCGAGGCAGGGTCTTGTTCGAGACGAATTCGTCGTACCACGCCTGCGTATCATCTCATCAGCAAGCGAAGATCGAGTCGAGGACCGGCGAATGATCACCTGACCCGCGCCGTCGATCGTTCCTCCTCCGTTAACGAGGATGTTGTTTCCACCCAGCAGCCACCATGTGATCTGGGTTTGATATGCAAAGGCGAACGAGTTCTAAAATAAATAGATCAGGCGGTGCAACGTGAACAGCAATCACGTTACGCACTTTGATCCAGTACGGGAGATTAGGGGCAAAGCGGATCTTCCCCTGCAGGTTCTGGGCGACGCGAGTGAGTCAAGTTCTCAGCCGTTCCGGAGCGACCCGGGAGCTCACGATGTGTGTATTCGACAGACCCGTCATGTTCAGGCGCGTCGCGATGTTCAACGTCGTCGCTTTGGGGATCACGACCTGCGTACAGGTCTGCGCGGCCTTGAGGAACTGCGGCGCGTCGTCGCCCCCGGACGCAGCGAGCGTGCACAGCGGCGTCTTCTGTGCCGCCGCGCACGACGCCAGCGAGATCAGACCGAGGACGTTCAGGAGGGAAGTGGACAGCTGCATGTTCCGGCGACGGGTGGGTGGGTTGGTTGAGGAATGACCCGGGCAGTTCATCCCCTCAACTTTTATACTGCACCGGAAGTAAATCGTATCGCGCCGGCCGAGAGCTCTTGGCGAGGCGGGCTTCCAAGTCTCCATCGAAATCCGCGTATGTCCGTCCGTCCGGCCCGAAGGTTCGCGCACCCCGCCAGCCGCTCGCAGCTCGGTGGTATTGCTGATGTGGTCACCAGAGACTCCTTGCCATTGGGTGATCGGCTTGTCGGTCACAAGCTCCGTGCGGTCCCTAGACGACGCGAGGGGTGCTTCTCGGGAGCCTATATTATTATTATTATACAGATCATTCGAAGGCAGGATTTGCGGGAGCAGAGCACTTGTTTCCCGTGCCTGGGAGCGCAGGCCCGTCCGTGATCCACGCCCTCACGTAATCAAGGGTTGGAGCACTTCGCTTCACGCTTTCTGGGCACTGCGAGGCTGCGAGAAGTGGGCATTGCCATGCGAACGCGGCACAGGCCGAGCTGAGAGCCAATTCGATCTGAATTCGATCAGTTCTGGATGGACCATGGTAGGTATCTAATTGCGACCGACGCTTTTTACCGATTGCACATGCCCCATGCGAGTCGAGGTCAGAGGTTTCCATGGCTGGCCATTCCACTTGGTTAATTATCCGACCCCGGTACTTCCTACTTACTCAGTTGCTACCCAGCAGGACTGTGGTGCCACCCTCGGAGTCGCTCGATAACAAGATGAGATTTTGGATCACAACACACCAACAATCCCCTTTCTGAGGGGCCGCGGCTGGAGCTGCAGGTCGACCTGCGAGCTCACGGTTCGAAACAAACTAGCAGCTGCTGCCCGTCGCATTGTGTTGAACACCGGAATGGGACTCCTCCACGAGTCAATGCAACAGCTAGATAGCATCGTCACCTCGTCACTTTCCTCCAATCACAATCGGCGGTCGGCCCGTCACCACCAGTCTCGCATTATTCGCTTTCACTTCTTCTCTCGACGCGTCCAGCCCGCGCACAACGAGGAACCGCACAGAGTGCCGCTTCATGAAAAAAAGTTTGTACCAGACTGTTCAAGCGGCGGATCTCTTCCTCGACGGCTTCTCTAGCGTTCGCAGCCGCAGCCGCATCACCGTACACCTTGACCGCAGAGATCCTCCAATCTGCTCGTGTGTAAGCGCCAGTGCGGCTGTGCAACGAGCTGAGAAAGTCTGCGCCCGCCTTGGATCGAAAAGTGTCATTCCAGCACGCAGGGCCCAGATTCTCGCCCGCAGCGAGCTTCTCAACGCGCACTTTGAGTTTCCCCAGGACGGTTTTGTCGCCTCCGACAACACGGATACGGACATGAGTATTCATGTGCGTGACACGGATGCCATCCAAAGAGTTCCAAGATCGTTCCTGTGCTTGGAACTGTGCGGTTGGAATGGCGAGCACGTACTGCAGAGGATCTGGTAGATGGCCGCGGATTGAGCATTGACCCATATACACTGGACGTAGTCCTGATACAGAGTCTTGCACTCGCTTGGCTGTTTCCCAGTTCGGGAAGCGGGCTTTGACCACGATGTTGCCCTCCAGACCATCTCGAGTGACGACATCAAACGCCTCTGGAGCCTCTATTCTCTCCACGTCCTGTCTTAGAGCAGCGATTCCAGCTTCAACGTCGTACGACAGAGGTCTGAGGAATTTCGAGATCATTCCCCCGCAGAATTCTTGCACCTGAGTTGCAGAGACCCCAACAGGTAGCCTGCTTATCTTGACTTCACGGGCCACATTGATACTGGCCCGGGGCGGGTTATTCATCTCCGCCCGAACCCGGCGGCCTTCACAGACTCCTCGGTTAAGGAACCCAGCTTTGGCTCTCGCCTGCTCGACAGTAACGAAGGTTACGATCGCGCTGGTCGACGGGGCGGGCCAGGTCATCGTCAGGGTGTTGGACGCATTGTTCGTGCCGAAGCTGCCCATTCCGCCCTCCTTGTAGCTCTCCATCACCTCGAAGTGCAACCGCTCGTCCCCAAACTCGATGTCCTCCAAACCAATCGCCACGATGCCACCCTCCTCCGAGGTGGTGACCAGCGTGACATCCTTGTGCCCATCAGGCGTCAATCTAGTTGACGCGATGAACAAGCGCTTCGCGTCGATGCCTTGTTGTGTGAACAGCTGCTTGATCTCATCCGGCTTCGCTGTGCGGGGGAGGTTTTGAATGCGGATGCGGCACGCTTCGAAGCCAGTGATGACATCCTGGATATCGATGCCCGCCGCAAAAGTCACAACGCTAGCGCCGAAAACTATGTGCTGCAATGTGAATGCAGCGTCCAGTTCGCGCTGCCGTGCTCTTTGGGTGGCTTCGAGCTCACGCTGCTGTGCTCTCTCGATTTCCATTTGCCGTTTTCGAGCTCTTTGCTCCGCATCGCGTTCGCGTTGTTGGGCCCTCTGCGCAGCTTGAAGCTCGCGCTGGCGCTCAGCCTCGGCCTGTGCTCGACGTCCCGCTTCCAATTGCGCCGCAACTCTTCTGGCCTCCTCCTGGGCCGCCTGCTCCGTGCGTAGTCGCGCCTGCTCCTGGACCTGTTTGAGGTGATGAGATCGCTCTAATTACAGGAAAAGAGCCCACCTGTTGATCGTGTCCAAAAAAACATCGGTCTCCTTTCGTGCAGTTGCCGCTGCGCCATGCTTTACAGGGCACTTCACCTCGTTTCACAGACGATCGAGGTCCTATCGAGGCTTGTGAGGCATTGTTATCAGGGATGTTCAAGGCGCGTGCACGGGAGGCATTGGCACGCTGAGATGTTGCAGATCGGCCAGTCTCAGAAGACGCTTCTGCAGAGCTGGAAGCCTGCGTGGTAGAATCAAGTGGCCGTAGCCACAAATAAGAAGGCTCTACGTACCCGCTCGTGAGCAAATTTGCATCTTGACCCAAATCTGCACTGGCCCGTGTTAGCGAACGCTCGGCACTGTGGTGGTTGAGACATGGGTGCAAGCAACAGCTATGCCGATGCCATAACGCGGCTTCGAGCGTTAGACGCCCATCGCCTTCTTTACCAGGTGTATTGAATGCTGCGTTGCGGCACCTGCCGATCGAAAGACACGCCGAGTTGGGACGACGATGTGTATTGAAGTTAACAGAGTGCCATGATGAGAATTATCGTTCAGGTGCGTCGGAACTCCCGTCTGAACGTGCAACAAATGAAGAGCTCTCACTGAGTCAGAAGACTGAAGAGACTCGTTTGTGGTCTGGTCACTGCTCACGAGATATGTGACGGCTCGTGATTCAGTCAGGTGATAGATGGTGATACATGTGACGCGTGACAAATTATCAAAAAAATTCGGTTGGCTATGGGCGCGAGCATCGGCGAGCCGTTTCATCTCGCCAGCTATGGCATAACTCAGCGCTTGAAGAAATCGAAGAGCCTTCGTAACAATGCACCCAACGTTTCCGTGTCGCACGAAAAGTTCGCCTCCGGAAGCTCAGACGGATACGTTACAGTGACCGCGCAGGGAGATGGCGTGCACATTCTGGATGTACGTCCATTCATTCGGGACTAATCCAGTCAACCCATCTTCTTAGCTTGGGACCCTTCACTCCGTCGCATCGCATTCTCTTGGTCCCTCGACCAGTTTTTCCTGCCCCTCCATCTCTATCGCAGTAGTTGAAGGCGAGGAGAAGTATTGCGCGACTTATTCCGGGATCTCCTCCGGTTCAGACGTCCCATTTGAAAAGTCATCCCGGACGATTTGGTCCTGGCGTGCCAACCTCTCGAATCCTCTATCTGAGAGAGCCTCTGAGAAGAGGCAGGCATTCGTGCGTTCACTTCGTTATCGGCCATTCCTGCAATCTCACACATGCAGATATCACACGACATCTCCCAAATGTACACACTACCTGGAGCTCCGCCACGCATCCTAGCGTTGTCCCCAGCCGGTCACGCTACCGTCCTTGACACCGAGCTCAATATCCCAAATTCCATTTCGCCCTCGACGGAAGTCCAAATTCTGCGCTCATTCCCATTCTATGATAAAGACGCGAGTCTCCTACGCGGCCTGTCTATCAGTACAGTTATCGTTCTTCTGGAGCAGTCGGACGCCGGGATGGCTGTTCGAGTTTTGTCTGTTTCGGAGGCCGGAAAACTCAATGATCTAGGGGATACTCCCATTTCTATACCATCCTCAATGGTATCTTTCTTCTTACTCTGGAAGTGCGGCTGGGTCTCACAGCTAGATGAATAGGACATCCTGGATGCTTCTTGTAGCTCTTCAGGATATCTGAGCATCATAGGTAAGCTCAAAATATGGTCACTGCAGTCATAGCTCACTAGCCTCTAGTACAGGATGGCTCCTGGTACTCCTTTCGAATTGAAATACAGTCATCTGGCCCGCAAATAATCCCTATAACGCGACCAATGCGCCTAAAATCTCTGTCATTTGTCGATACAGCCGTCAAGGGATCCTTGGACGGCGAAATCTCCATCATTGCTCTGAACACTTCCCTCGTGCTCCTTGCTGCAATTACGACATCGCCGTCTCGCAATGTAGTCCTCATGCTATGGGATCTACAATTCTCCGTCCTCCTGTCATCACAAGTGTTGTCGATCCCTTCGGCACTTTCCACGCTTCCCAAACTATACATCTCGCTGCGACCAACTCAAATGTCATCCCACGCTATTCTCGTGGTTTCACCACCCCCATCTGCCGAAGTCTCGAAATCGGCGCGCAGCACGATCTATGCCATCCCACTCGTTGTGCCTAAAATGTCCACGATCAGTATGGCTATGGGGCGTGCCTCGGCGGGTTCTCAGTGGACAGTTCAAGACAACGAGGACGAGGAGCCGACGTCAGGAAAGGGTAAAATACTCCAGCAAGTTCGTGAATCCCTGTCCAAGAACGATATCAAAGCAGCAGAGCAAGCATTCTTTGACTGGGAGGCAGCTCAGACAAAAACTCAAGAGGTACGCCCATGGCCATTTTACCGGATAATTGGCTGAAGCTCAGTTCCAGTCCACAGTGGAATTTGGCCATACACTAGTACGCGATCTTTTGCTGGTAGCTCTCCAGCCCACGAAGGCAAATTCCGCCTACCCGTCGCGCATTGTTCATTCTCTGTTGCGCCAGCGAGTTGTCAGTGCCGGGATGATCGAAGAAGGTCTGTTGGCTTGCCTGAAGCAAAGAAATGACTGGGTGGGTCCTCTTTAGCGCAGATTCTATCATTTGGTTTACCTTCCATGCAGGCTGCCATGATTCTCTGTATGGACCACGTCACCGACCTCGAGGAGTCCGACTTGGTGTCAACGCTCCAATCTGTGACGGAATCCTCTCGCCAATCGCAGGGCTCAGATGCAATGCAAGTGGACTCCGCGACGCCTTCGCTCTCCGCTTTTTTGCGCTCCTGCGTGACTTACAGATGCTCCCCTGCCGCACTGCGCACAGCCCTCAATCGGCACCTGAAGCAGCCCGATGACGTGGTCCTACTTTTGGAGACATTGGACGGGTGGCTCGGGAGTCGGAAAGGCGCCGAAGTTGTTGCCCTCCCGTCTCGCAAGTCTGTGCGCAAGAACGAAGATGGGGTGTCTGTCCTCCAGCAGGGCGCAAAAGACCTCGAGCTTCCATTGCCGAAAGTGAGTGGACGTTGTATGACGCATCTCAAACTCAATCTGATCCATTTATAGATCCTTTCCTTCGCGCAGACCCTTATCGACGCGACGTTCTTGACCCTGCTCCAACACACTGCTGCTCATGCAATCCTGCGCCGGCTACTTGCCCATATTGAGCCTGAGATCAGCTTGACCGAACAGGTCGATAGTCTTCGTGGACCTCTGGGTGTCTTTGCTCAAGCCCAGGCCAAGGCGGTGCGCGACGGCCGAGAAAAGAAAACCTCGGCCGGGATGGCGGTGCGTCCCAATGGCGACAGCGGCGGCGTGCTGCCTTCGATCGCGCCGAAATGGCCGTCGGTATATACCAAGTCGAGGAGATTGTCTTATGAGCAAATACATGTGTGTATGTATGTACGCTACGAGATGTCTGACAGCGGAACGAGCCGTGTCCAGCGAAGAAATTCGGGCAGTCGAGGGCTGGACAGGTCAAGAGTGCTTCAATGGTATCCGTATCTCGAATGTGCGTGACGAGATTCCGAGTGTTCAATGTTTGTTCGGAATCCCGAGTGGAGCGCAACCATTCGGACAAATGGAACAGAGATCTGAAGAATGCATTCAGAGTGTATAGATACAGAGGGACTCGCCTAAGACAGCTAAAAGTACATCATCGCAGGTGCCTATCCTGTCCAATTTTTCGGCTGCAAAGCGGATCAGGGCGTCTCTAAAAACGACAAGTGAAAGAGCTGACCTTGACCTCCTCCCCGATTTTCCTCACTCCGACCTCAAACCCACGCCCAGCATCGCCTCCAGCACCCTTCTCTCCGGAGTCCCAGTTGTATCCGACACCGATCGCAAGTCGAGTGCCATCGCAGTTGAATGCCAGCGCGCCCACTGGATGTGCGAACTTGGGATACTGTCGCAGTCGTTTCTTCACTTTGTGATCCCACACGGAAACGGTGCAGTCAGAGCCAGCAGAAGCAAAGGTGTTGTAACTGTCGCAAGGGTTTACGCGAGATCGAGTGAATGAATGCAGTCCAATGCCTTACATGGGATGGAAAGCCAGCGCATTGACGGGGTAAACCTGATCGACGTTGTCCACGGTATGCCTATGGCACTTGAACGCGTACTTTTTCGCCTGAGTAGCAGCAGACCGGTCAAAGTATTCGACGGCGATGCGGCCCTCCAAAGACGCGGTGGCATAACCTGATTCGTGTGTAAGAGCAGTCAGACTCACGCAAAAGAACTTGAACTCACCCTGGCCATCCGACATGCAAGCCAAACTACGCGTCATATACTTTAAGCTACTCTCCCGCTGCTCTGCCGGGGTTGCCACGTTTCGGATATCATAAATGTTGAACAGGCGACTAGCCATTGCGACAACGATGTTGTGGTTGGCCATGTCAAGACAGTACACGCGCTCCGGCGTCGCTGTGACGGACTGTTGAGGAGTTGCTGCACGCGCGTCCCACAAACGGACGGAGCAGTCCCAAGACCCAGAAACGAGAGAGTCTGGGGGAGCTTCAGCAGGCTGAAACGTGCGCGACTGTGTATCACTCAACTGGACTCCCTGGAGTACACCAATCCAGAAACAGCATCTGTGTGCGAGCCCACTGTGACCATCTTCTCTGTACCCAGCTCAAGACTACGCCCCCAGTCAGATCATTTCCGGTGAGGAAGTAGAGCCTGGCTCACTGTCTTATGGTCGCATCAAGCCCACCACTGAACGCGTGAGTCGAATCACCGAAACTGCAGCTGAGTATTGCTGCTCGATGCTCGAACTTGGCCAGTTGCTCCGAAGGCTTGCTATTGGGATCGCCAACATGATAGTATCTCACAGTCTGTGCATATGTTTTAGGCGATGAGTCGCGTTTCATGGAAGGACGGAACGCACCGTGTCCCAAGAGGCAACCAGAAGCTTGTCCGGGTCCGTAGGCGAGTACTGCAGACACGAGATAGTATCAAATGGTGGCGAGGGAAGTGCGGAATAGTTTGCGTCTAAAAAGTATATATGTCAAAAGCAGAGGAAAGAAAGGTCTATCTGCTTACCACCCATGGCTGTTCGACAAAACGCGAAGATGTTTGCAGCTGTTACGGAATGCCCGCATTTGGACTTGATCGCGAACCATCACGAGCGCGGGGTTGCTTGCACCCTAGCATCACTCGCACCTGCCAGTGCCACGAGTCTTGTCATGTCTCTTCCATCGACCGCTGCAGTCAAGGCACAACTGAAAGGTCATCTGGGTGCCAAAGCGGACGACTACTTTGCCACCCTCAATCTATTTGTAATTGGACAGACGTCGCGTGCCGAGTTTGAGGAGACTATTAAAGCAATCCTCGACGCGCCAAATCTCGGTACTTCTCCCCTCTATCCAACACTTAGCCTTTGATTGAAATCGCCCGACTAGTTCAGCTCCATAACACCTTGATCATCTCGCTGTTTGATGCTACGAAACACAAACGGCCTCCATCTCCCGCAGTAGTTCCGCGTCCTAAGCCACCTGCCCGCAAAAGACGCCGATTATTACCATATCAAGGCCCAGATGAGCATCCAGAGAATCTCTCCCTGCGATCAACACGTCTCAAGCGCTGGGCTCTGTCCGTGGGCAAACAGGAACGCGAGCGGTTGAAATCGTTCCAGGCCAGTCCGCTCGACGCCCGACCCTTGGTCTCGGATGAGATTGCATCCGAACGCGGCGTCATACTGCTACACGAGCGAGGGGATCCACCCGGGAGTCGATTGCCTGTCCATCTCGCAGCCAACGCTGGCGCTCCAACGGTACAGCATATCGCAGACCGCATGAACTTGATATGTGCGCAGAACAATCTGGGAGCGCCGAATCGCGCCGTGCCCTCCCTGATGAATTTGGCCTGTGAGGTTTGTGTATTTGCTCATCGCACCTGGATAATTGTAAATGTGTAATTTCCAGGCAATGCTCAAGCAGCTCCTCACGCACGCACTGACATTGACCTCGACCTCCCAAACCATTTCTTCGATCAACGCATCGACATCTCACTCCTCACGAGCCCCACCTGTGCTTTCCGCAGCAGCCTTCAACACCCTTTTCACAGTCTCGCCCGCAGACATTCCGAACAAATCCGCAGCGGCTGTGCGTTTAGGGTTCATGGGCGAGGAAGAAACGAGCCACGACAGCGACGGCGATATCGTCCTGCTGAAGGATCGGGAGGTTCGAGATCAGCGCTGGCAGATCCTGGCACTTTTAAGCGAAAGGAGCACGGTACGAGAGGTCCTGAGTGGGCGGACATTATGATCTTGTATTCTTGCATGGTGGGATATTTATACACTCTGTACATAGACTTATATGTATACGTAATCAAGCATCCTTCAGCGTCTCGTTGTCGGAATCTATGACAATGACCACGTCCGATGGCGTCTGTGAGGATCGGGTTTCAATGCTCGAAGACGTGGGACCCTCCACAACTATCTGAGCTTGATGTTTTGATTTACGAGCCTCCTCCACCAAACGACTAAACTCAGAGCGATTAGCCTTCAGATGCTCATCAGGCTTGATAGACTCTGTGTCCCCCTTTTTCTTCAACAGCCTGGCGTGATCCTCTTCCCACTTTTTCAGCTCCCTCCTGAGCTCACCAATCTTTTGTCGTCGTTCGACCCCCTTGTCGTGATTGGAATTCCAGAGCATTGTCCATCTTCGACGTGTCAATATAGTCAGGCGAGGGAGGGACAGAGAGAAAGACCCACCGTTGATGCCGCGCTACCAACGTCGCTCTGTCGCCGATCGTGACAAGCCCATGTTCTCCTAGCTTATCCCGTATCTGTTTCTCTTTGAGAGTGTCATAAGAGAGCTTGGGCAATCTGTCATCAAAGTCTCTGACGCTGTCCGTTGAATTGTACTTTGGTTTGGAGGCTAGAAGCAACGGACCTCTCCTTGTCTTTCCCTTTACTCTTCGGCGGGCCGCCCAGAAGTTGGCCCCATGCAGCAGCCGTGGATCTGGGTTTCCCCTTCGTCTTGGACATTGGAGCCGATGTTGCAGCCTGGTCGTTTGGACTGCCAGAACAGTTTCAAGATGCATGTTGATCGATTTGTACCGCATGCTGCGGCTACATATGGGGCACTGAATCATGTCTTCAACTAAAATGTGGTTTCATATCTTTCTTGACTGGGTGAGTAGCGGCATGCATACGTTCTGGCTCTGACCGGGTGGGCTCCTCCGGAGACGACGAGCTATGTGGAGACTTCCGTGGGCTCGTGGGCGCCGCCAAACATTCTATGTCGGGACTGATTCTGCGCTTCTTCTTAGGAGGCTCTTCCAAGAGCTCAGACTGCTCTTTTCTCGAATACCGTAACACGGATGGCCTGGAACACGTCAAGGAAGACGACGAAGGATACCAGAAGCAAATACCTGGATTCTATCCACGCGCCAACGATATACTCTATTCCCGGGTTTGGCCTCAGCTGACCCTCGTTTGCTGGATGCCTGCATGTCGGACATTGCGCCTTCGCAGAAGAGACATTCAATGTGTCGCGTATGCACTTCTCCGGCTCAGCGACCAGTGAATAGGTATAAAGAGATCTGGTGACATACCATGGAGCAAAACGTGTGCCCGCACTGGAGCGAGACTGGACCATTGAAGTAGTTCGAGCAAATGGGGCACCGCACGGCCGAGTCAAGGTCGCGTAAAGGTTTTGCTGTACTCGGAAAGTCACTTGGGTCAGAAATATCTTGCGCCAGTAGAGTGCTGAGCTTGTTCGAATTCATCGTTCTCGCACGACGATGAGGAGAGTAGACTGGTGGCGGTAGCGTGACCGATGATCATGAGACGCAACACGGAGTGTCACTCTCACATGACATGTGACTGCATTCCCTGCGTGACAAATGCCACAGGATACAAGTACAGGAATAAATGACTGCTAAGAATCCAACTCAAACCATCTCATCTATAAACTCATTCTGGTCTCCCTCCTCCTCCTGTTCCAGATTCGCCGGGTCCACAATCATCAGATCAGACCGATTCCTGCAGTCACAAAGCCGTCCAATGCTTTTCGCGTTCGCGGAATCATTGAGAACATGCATTGCCCGCTCTGCTGCAAGATTCTTAGCAATGAGCCCGCTGTGAGAATGAATTGGGCCGGCGATGACAACGTCGTGTGCGATGACTGTGACGGTGTGTCGAGCTCCGCCGTCTGTTACACTTTTCCTTGAAGGACGAAGAATGAGAAAGTTGTAACTGTGTGGCGAGTTGAAATAGATATCCCACTGACTTGAACAAAATCCGTTTTGGGCTCAAACAACCGGCGGCAGCGGCCCATTCCATGAGCTCGGATATCGGGTTGCGTTGAACAGCGGGCGAGAGCACATCGAGGAGATCGCTCATTACGTGCTCTACGACCAGAGCCGTTCGTTGATAGTCATAGCCCGAGTCTACAAATACAGCACCAATCACACTCTCGAACACATCACTTTCAAAATATCAGTGAGTGAGCGGCCCCCATGCGTCGGAAAACCTACCTGAGAGCCTTCGGTGGGTCATATCGCCAGCCTCGCTGCACGGTCTCTAGAGGACTGCACGCTTGGAGCAGTGGTACATGCCTCTCCATCTCTCGGCTCAGCTCGAAATTATTCACGAGCAGCGACTGGTGCAGCTGAAGCCGTTGCACTCCAACGGTAGCCAGAGCTGGGGCGCAGACAACACGAGATCGCGCCCATGACAATTGGCCCGAGTTAGCCGCGGGGAACTTACGATACAGATAGTCAACAACAACCAGCTCGAGAACAGCATCTCCCAGAAACTCGAGTCGCTGGTAAGAGCTCGTAGACTGGTTGTCAAAGGATGGATGTGTCAGCGCTTCGATCAAAAGCCTCTGCGACCGGAATTGGTAGCCCAACGCGCCTTCCAGACGTGAGAATGTGAATGAAACAGGGGATGTTTCGCGAAGATGGAACCGAGATTCCCAAGGAATGCAGCCGCCGAAATCAACACCCAATGCAGACCCACATCGCAGAGCCATGTTGATTCCACCAGTGACAAAGCTGGCACCAAGTATCGCCTCCATGCAATCCTGCAAGCTCCTCCTCGGAAACTTCCGTTTCACAAGCCTACTGCCGGCCAGCTCATCCGACCTGGCTCGTTGCATGTGACCGTGCCAGGTACTGATATTACGCGATTCGCACGTGAGAAAGGCTTCTAAGCCAATGTCCTTTGCCCTGGAAAGCAGAAAACGGTTGCAGACGCTGTTCTTCCGCATGAGCGTCAATTGACCTTCGTGGTGATTGGGATAGCGGTTGAAGAGATGGACTGTTGTGCACAGCTGCAGAACTGCATCACCGAGCGTCTCCAGTCGTTGGTTATTGACTCCTGCTGCAGCACAGGGGAGAGTCAGCGCCTCGACGAGAGTGTCCAGATCTATCGGCGGGAGACGAAGCGAATGCCGCGCTTGTTGTGCTCTGTAGACATCCGTAATCCGGAAATATAAGTCCGGTATGTGCGCAAGCAAGTCTCGGAATGCGACCGGCAGTCGAATCCACCGGCTTCCCAGTTGCGGCAGGATGGTTCGCGGCTCCGAGTCATCTGGATGCTGCAGTCGCGAGTACCGAACAAGTTCTAGAAGTGGCCCTTCAGTTGGAACCAGAGGTTGCTGTTTCCGACCAGAGCACCTGCTCAGCCAATACTCATGATAGCTTGGGAAATCGACAGCCCGGGGACAGTCGTTGGCACTTGGAACCGATAATGGAGAAAGATCTTGTCGGATAGACTTCAAGAAGAAGTGTCGGCCGTACATAAGGGAATTGGTCACCACGATATCAGTGAAATTTGTGCCAGGGATAGTGCTCCAGTCAGAGCTGTATGAAAACAAACTCTCCATCATAGCGAAGTCGGGTTGGCCTCCGTCTGTCAAAGGCACAACGTATAGCGCGCAGGGTTCCTTGATGGGGCTTCCGGAAATACGAAGGTAGACGCAGTCGCGCATGAATTTGCACATGAGCTGCCTTGAACTATGGCATGATTCCAGATCAACAGGTTCAGCATCGCCCAGTGCGAGTGTTTCACCCGTTGGTAGAGGAACAGAGACGGCAGGCAGACGCGATCCCGTGACCAGCCCAGCCACAAGCGTGTCATTGACGCGGATGGGATGGATCCAGAGGTCTTTGATTGCTGTCCATGGATCCTTGACAGCCACCTCCATGGTCACAGGCACTGATCCGACTTTGATCAACGGAGCTCCCTGACTGTCCTGGTCGGCTTGAGGTGCATCGGAGACAGGCAGCAAAAAATTGTCAAACACTTCGAGCTCGTGTAAACGTTTGACAGCCCGGAAAGCCGCGGCACGCTTGGCCTCCTTCTTTGTCCTTTTCAGGGCTCCTTGGAACACGAGATCCTGCCGTTCCAATGGCAGGGCAGCCGGCAGCCGCACAGTTGACTGGAATTCACCGCTGTACACGGGAGCATATGCATCACAGAACGGTTCGTGGGAGATCAACGAGCACAACCGCACGAGGAGAGAAATGCAGTTGTCATAGGTGAGAGTCGCGCCTGTGCCCGGAACGATGTACCGCTCCCGCTCTGAAGGGTCGACTTCCTCGTCGTCCTCGTCTTCAACTTCCGACTCTTCTTCGTGACGCGTTCGATAGATACTTTTCAGTAGGGGGTCTTGGTTCGAGAATGACTGGTACCGTGCCAGCTGGGCTTGATCCGACTCGTTGACCATGACAACGAACTTGGAAGCCTTTCGGCGAGCGCGCCCTCGGGACTGGACGTATCCAATCATATGTTGCAGCTCGTCAAAGCGAACCACGACATCGCACGCAGGAAAGTCCAAGCCTTCTTCCGCAACTGACGTGGCTACAATTATGTTGATCCGCCCCTCGCGAAATGCTTCGATGGAGTCCTGCGAGGACCGTTCGGCAGAAGTCCCGCCTCCGTCGGACGATTTGTCGCTACCCAGCAGTGCAGCACACCGCACTTTGCCCTCGAGTGGCGGGATCAACGGCAGTAGGCGCGCCAGACAGACCGCGACTTGTCGCTGTTCTGCGAAGATGATTCCTTGAAATGAAGCAGAATCGTGCTCGAGAAGGACTTCCACTAAGCTCCGGACTTTAGGCGAACACCAAGCAAGCGGCACAGATAGAGGAACGGCAGTTTCATCGAGGACATCCTGCATTGCGATCATGTCCGCCGCCAAAGATGCCTCGAACAGGTGATGACGTGAGTCGTCGTCGATCATAATCGCGTCCGCTTTCTCTTTCCTCAGTGTCAAGAGTCGATGGCTGATCTCAAGACGAAGAAAGTCTGATGCTGAATGGGGCCCAAGATTCGAGAGTGTGATGTTGTATCTTCGAGTAATCTCATCCCAGTTGACTCCCGAATCCAAAAAGGTCCTTTCGAAGACCGAGATGTAGTCCCAAAGTGTAGGAACGGGGAACTTCCGTATTGCAGGGGCGAAGGCGAGAAACGTTTGATGACCTGCGAAGAGACATCATCTGCGGAGGATCCAGCAGCCCGAGACACGCAGTCACCTCTACCGCTGTAGGAGCATGGGATGTCAACTCCTCCGCATTTGCCCGCACCGCAACCACTTTCGCGTCGAGCGTCCTCTCAAGATCTGCAAGCGATTTCTGCACGTTCTTGACGTCCCACACAGGGCTGGCAGTCATGCCAAATATCTTGGGACGCTAGATATCGCCTATATCAGTCGTGGAAAGTCGAAATTCAACTGAGCCCGAACCAGGTCCACGCGTGTTTCGATATACTCGCGCATTATCTGGCTGTATGGATGGTTCTTTCTAGCGTGATGACATTCGTCGAATATGAGCAAGGAGAACTGCGCATTTCGATCAGGCGCGCGTTCGGGTTCGGGCATGTGGACTCCCCTGGCTGACAGTCCAGATGGAATGCGTTATCAGGTTCACCAAGATTTGGGCTGAGCGCGATCAGGCGTAGCAGTCGAGTCAGATGACGGGCCCGTACGTGTCATCACGAACACATCGTGCCCATGCAGCATCGCCTCCCACCGCTCCCTGCGCACAACCTCAGCATCGACAAGCTTTCACCCAATCCGACGCCGACCTCTTCGCGAAATCGATCACGTTCTCCCCACTAAGCTGGGCCACTCTGAGAGTGCTGTGCGACTCGATGAACCGGCTCTGTTGTTGCACCAGCGCTACTTTCGGCGCGAAGAAGATGGCCTTGTTGTTTGGCCGGGTCGTGCATATCCATTTGAGCAGAAGTAGGCCGATGAAGGTTTTGCCTGTCCCGGTGTCGAGGACTGCGATGACATTGCCTGCTTGTGCCTGTACAAAGATTTCCTCCTGGTAGCGACGCGGAAGCAGGTCGATTCGGAGACTGCACTCATTGGGAGCAGAAGAGGCAATCCTGAATCGTTCACGGGACCGATTCAAATGCCAGAATCGGTCACGTGGGCGCGAGTGTCTATTACATAGCACACGCGCTTTACAGTTTCACTCCGAAGGAACAGATAATACATGATATCGATACAGTGAATAAGAATGAGATTGATGAAGAGCTTAATCCTCCTCCTCATCCCCGGCTGCCCCCGTCGGAATGCATGAGCTAGAGTTTGCTCCAACGTCTGAACGAGCGCAGGATTCTCCAGCGCAGCGGCGACACGTTCTTTATCGTTGAGTTGTTTATTCACTGTTTCTTAATCTGGGCCCCTGATGAGAAAGAGAAGGGGAGACAGGCGCACCAGCATGCTCGCTCTGGTGAGAGCCTGGCTTCAGCGAGATGTCGATCTTGAACCGGTCCGGTAACGCTCTGAGCAGACGGACACGGATCGAAAGCCCTACAGAGTCGGTGAGTACGCTTCTGACTGAGCATACGGAATTTCGCTCACCGATAAGAGTTGACATGCCACAATGGGGAACCGTTGGAGTGAATTCGACATGGACAATGTTGTCTCGGACTGATATTTGCGGTGCAGAGACCACCCGGAGCTCTTCGAGTGTGTTTGGGTGCTCTGGGTCGTATATAGAACGTATCAGATCTGCCAGTCGATTGAATGACAGATAAGAGATGACCAGGAAGTCGACGGACCAAAAACTTCATCTGCGTCAATTTCTTCCGTCAAGATTGAATCGTCGTCGTCGTCCAGAGCGCCTTCGGAGTCGCCAACCCACAAAGATCTCTTCTTGGCTGAATTTGAGGCTTTGACAGGTGCGAAGATAGTGGGATTTGGATTGAAGACCTCGATTGCCATCATGGACTGATGAGAGAGCAAGCAATGATTTGATCGAGTCAGAAAGGCAAGTGTCACGATATCGTCACAGTCACAACCCCATTAGGCCGCGACTTGTGCCCCTACTGCTACACGTTCCCCACACGAGTTCGAACTGCAAAATGCCTCCTAAAGTACGCATTCATTGAAATCGCGAGCTCGCTCCGCAATGACGCGCCGGCTCCCAGCGTAAACGCGCGACAGACGACACGACCGGGGATACCAATACGTCGACGCGACCTACGCGGAGCAGCACACGCAAATCGACGAGCTCGAATAATGCAGCTGGCACCTCAAATAACGCTGTGGACACCAATGGAACGGCGTCGTCAAGTCAGGTGGCATCCGGAGGCTCTGAGGCTGAGGTAAACTCTTGACCATTCTTATGTCTGATGACGACATACTTTTAACGGACTTTCATGAACAGCCTTCTGCAGCAAAGAAGCCGAGAACTTCAAAGATATCCGGAACCAAGGGAGGGACGAAGAAGGGACCGGCAAAAGGGAAAAAAGCTGCGGCGGTGTTGTGCGTGCATTGACTTTTCTTTCTTTCCTATTCGACGATGTCTCACCTTTTCTTTCCAAATCATCTTCTCGTTACACTTTCCGGAAACACCGACCTCTCTTAAACCCACAATGTGTAACAACAAATCGTGCTCGCAGGGTTGATGACGTAAGTGTACTTACGCTTACATCACTGCGCTGCTTTTGACGTGTGATGACGGCAGGCAGAAGACAACGCCTCTTTGCTGTAAGTCTCACAGCCCTCCTCCACATCTGGGTTTTGCATGTGTATACATGCCCCGTTCTTCCGTGTTTTGCTGTTTTAACGGTCCACCTTCCCCCAGTGATGAGCCTTCAGCTCCCAGTACGTCCAAAATACAAGTGCGTGTGCCTTACTCCTTCCAGTCACGCGCCGTGCTCTGACACCTGTTCGAAGGTCGCCGAAGTCCCGCTGACTTTCATTGATTCCCAACCTCCATCGCGATCTTCCGTCCATCTCACACCGGAATCGCTAACCACACACTCATCCATCGCCCCCCCTCCGCCCGTAGCCGCACCCGTGCCCACACTCGTCAAGCCCGAGCCCCCCATGTCCAAGATCGAATCGTACAGCGCAGATCGCTGCGTGAAACTATTTGCGCAATACACAGACGAGGATGACCGCAACGTCATCGGACCCGAGGGGTTCGAACGGCTATGCACGGACGCAGACATATCCTTGGAAGGAGCGGGGCCGCTGATCCTGGCATGGCAGCTCAACGCGAAGGACATGGGCAAGTTCACGCGGGAGGAATGGACGAAGGGACTGGGCGCGCTCAAGTGCGTCTCGCGCACGATCAACACTGTTCCTGCCTGACATCCTGATCTATCAGGATCTCGTCCTGCGCCCCCCTCTGCATGGCTGTTTCTGACTTGGACAGCTTGCTCATCCGGGGTGAGCCGGCGGTGAAGGCTGGTAGGAAGGATGCCTACGACAAGACCGCCTACACCAGGTATGCTGCTGACGTGAAGAAGGCGTTTGGGTCTCTGTACACATTCTGCTTCAACCTGGCTAAACCAGAGTGCGTCCACTTCTTTTCGCGCCCCCCACCCTGTATCTGAGCTTGGCAGGCAATCGAGGAACATTGATATGGAGGTGAGGACCTTCGCCGTGTGTCCCGATTCGCCCGCTCACGTGCCCGATAGACGTCGATGGCTTTCTGGTCGGTGCTGCTGCTGCCCCAGTTCCCCATCATGAAGGAGGTCCTGGAGTTCATCACTGTGCGGAAATAAGTTGTCTCAGCCAGTCTCTTTCTGAGAGATGTCTGCAGGAGAAGAACTCGTACAAGGCTACGAACAAGGATCTCTGGAGCATGGTATGCCTTGCCGCCCGCCACCTCCCTTGCGTTCTGCGCGTGACTCAGACGTTCTCAGATGCTGGAGTTCTGTCGGACCGTCAAGCCCACACTGCAGGACTACGAAGCTGACGGTGTAGGTCGCGGTCTCTTTCTAACGTGTGGACGCTCATCAGCGCCATCCAGGCCTGGCCCACATTGTTAGACGACTTTGTCGCATGGAAGCAGGAGAAAATGGAAGTCAACGGCGGACCCTGAACAGAACACTCATTTGGGTGATTCTAGCGGATTCCCGCATCGCATAGCACGTACTGCTCCATTCTCAATCCATCCATCCCTGGACTCGTGCC